GGCCAGAGCCGCCAATGGAGCCGGAGCCGGAGCCGGAGCCGGAACCAGAACCGTGGCCAGAAACAGAGCCGGAGGCAGAAGCAGAGCCAGAGCCGCCGATAGTACCAGAGCCGGAGCCGTGGCCAGAGACAGAGCCGGAGGCAGAAGCAGAGCCAGAGCCATGACCCGAGCCGGAGCCGGAGCCGTGGCCACCTGTAACATCGGTAGGGCTGACACCGCTAGGGCCGGTGCCAGAAGGAGAGGGAGAGCTAGAGCCACCGACGGGGGAAGCGCCGGTAGGGGTGGCGGGGGCGGTGGAGGCAGCAGCAGGGACAGTGGAGGGGCTTGAAATGAGCTTCGTGGTCGAGGAGCCAGGAGTAATGGTGGGGGCACCGGGAATGCTGCAGCCGGTGAGCCATTCAATGAACAGAAGTTGGAAGTGGCTGCTAATATCAATGTCAACAGCACCACCAATGACGGCGGCCAATTCGGCCCGGGCGTCAAGGGAAAGGTAGACGAAGCTCTCGCCGGAGAGAAGGAGAGTGAGGACACCACGAAGGCTGGATCCGAGGGAGACCTCGACGGTGCCGCTGAGGAAAGCCTCAAGCTCGGTGATGATGCTGGAGGAAATGCCGACGCTGACCTCAGTAACAGAGAAAGAAAGCCAGAGGTAGAGAGCGGCCTTCAGTTCGGCTCCCAGGCTGCAGCTGGAGCCGGACAACCAAACGGCCAAGGCGGCACGGGCATCGGCGGAAACGGAAGTGGCGAGCTTGCCGGCAATACAGGCCTCCAGGACAACCTGAACATCGGCTTCGATGTCAACAGAAACACTGGACTCGAGGTAGGCAGAGAGGTAAGTCTGCGCAGTTGCGGTAAGTGCACCCTCGGCCTCGATCCAGGCGCTGATGGCGGCACCAACGGAAACAGCGGTAATACCGCCAGTGGGGATGGAGCCGACGGCAACGACACCAGTCTCAATCTTGCCCTCCAACCAAGCAAGGACTGCAACCTTGAGAGAGGCGCTCAGGGAGCAAGAGGAGCCGTTCAGCCAGACCTTCAGGGCGGCAGCGAGATCAGCAGAGAGATCAGCGTGGACACCACCGCCAGCGCAAAGGGCGAGACCAGCGCGGAGGTGGGCATCCAGAGCAAGACCGAGTTCGCCGGCGATGAATGCCGAAAGGGAAGACTGGAAGGAAGAGCTCAGAACCACGCCGGCCTCGAGTGTGGCGCTGGCATCGAAGATACCATCAATGGTCACGTAGAGGTTACCCGCGGCAGCCGTCTTAGCGCAAGTGGGGACGAACAGGGACAGTCCGGCGCAGACTTCGGTCGACAGAGTTGCTTCAGCTTCACCCTCACACCAGGCGAGGAGATGAGTCTTGAGGGAGGCCTCGAATCCTGCATGAGCACGGATCCAGGCGGCCAATTCGGCACGAATGTCAGCATCGATCGCACCAGCCTTGCAACCCAAGGCACCTCCGTTCAGGGCCGCGGCGGCCCGAGCACTGATACCAGCAAGGACCGATACTGAGGTCTTGCTTCCAATGCCGAGGATTTCTTCAAGGATGATCTTCAGGTCATGGCCGAATTCGCCCAAAATCTCAGCGCCGAGGCCGAAGTGGCGAGGATCCAAGTCCTTGGTGTCCTTGGTGGGAAGGGCGAGAACATAGTTCGCCAGACCGGCGAGTAGAAGGAGCTTGCTGGAATGCATGATGCCAAGAGAGCGAAAAAGGTATCAGGAAAAGGTCGATAAAGTATTAGCGAATGTCGATCACGAGTCAATCGGGATGGAACGGTATAGAACAGTTTATAAAAAAAGGAAAGAGAAAAACCGAATACGGCTGGCACTAGGGCAGCCTGGTTGGGTTAACGACAGACAGGTGTAAATGATAGACAGGAAAACAAAAATGAAAGACAGAACCCCAAACGACAAGCGAAAGGAAGTGACTGATGAAGGGCTTGATATCCGTTCGAATGAGGTGATCACCATCGAGGTATATATACCCCTGAGGACGGGGGATACTTTCCCGTGCCTGCTGGGCCGGGGCGATGGAAACCTGCACAACCCCCAGTCTGGAACCCACGAATGGAGCAGCGCAGCTTGCTGGACCATGTTGGACCATCTGTGATCGAGGGACCCGGATCTTCGAGACCAGGTTAGCCAAGTGGACCGGCCGGGTGCCAGTGGACACTAGAGAAGCGAACCAGACCCGACTACCGTTGAAAGTGGGCTCATCCGAAACAGACTAAACAAAAAGAAAATACTATTTCAGGCAACGGGGGCTTGCTAACTGAGAAAGCATTAGTCCTGACCTTGTGCGGGTCACAGAAGGCCCTTCCTGTCCGTGTTATTCTAGTAAAGCAGTGGTGGACGCTGTAAGCAGGGGGAGAAAAAGGCTAGGCTAGTAAGCCACGGGGTCCCAAGCCAGCCACCATTTTGGGGGTGGACGGAGGACAACGGAGAGATGGAGGAGACACCGTTGTCAGGGCAAAAGGACCTCCTCAAAGTACGCTAACGTCTGAAGATAGGGCACCGAGCAATAACGGTGAGCAATTTGGAATCTTTAGTACTAAGTAGCTCGTGGAATTTTCGGGACTTAGAGGGAGGGGAAATCGGGAAAAGGCGATGGATGGTTGACTATGACCATCAGTCGAAGTGTTGTCAGCATCACCGATCGACTGCTAGCACATCAGCATTGTCGGTGCGAGAAATCATCATCGGCACAGATTTGTGGGGAAATGAGCGGCCGACTGCCAACCACACGGGACGAACTATTGAGAGTCTGGAAGGTGTTGGACCATCGCAAGCCATGCATGCACGCATTAGCATTGCGATGGGCAATGACGACAGGGCGACACGCATAGACCGTATTAGGATAAAAGACAGGCTAGCAGGACATGGACATGGACACTCAGATAGTGGGAGGAGCGGAACCGGGGGGCAGGCTTGAATGGACGCGACCCATGGGCGATCATCTCAGCCGGTGTTTTGTCGCTGAGAATTTTAGCTCGGAAGCAGTTGAGTTTCCACGGAAAAGGGCAAAACATGAAACTCCCCAATCAAGCTCAATTCCTCCACTTTAGGGATTTGAAAAGTCAAGAGTTCGGACATAAGAATAGAGTCGCAAGAATCGGGAAGAAAGACCAGAGCAAAAAATGGGAGGAGTGGGAGGGGATCGGATGAATCAGCAATCATCGCCCCATCAACACGACTTTGTGACAGATGCAAAGTTGACTGGTCAGACTTTCTTTCCGGACAGGTGCAGCAACGCACTTCCGACATAGGAAAACAAAGAAAAAAAAAGGAATTGGAAAAATAAAAGTGAAAATCAAAAGGAAACTAGACCAGCAAGCAAACACACGTACCGAGGCAGCCATTGAATATTTGACAGCATGAGTTGGTGGCAAGGGCAATAGCCAATGGCATCGGCAGCAACGAACCCAAACAAACACAAGCATAGATCTTATCTTGACCGTACTTCCATGCTCTGGATTAAAAGCCCAGGGCATAATATTGAGTAATGCATGGTCGGTGTCAATAAGGGTCTTCTTCAGTGCTCACCCCAAATATAGTACCTCAATTTCCCTCAGGTTGGCGGAAGGACTGCTGCTACCACTTCAGAAGTTGGAACTAGCCGGCTGTGGCTCTCCGGCTTAGAGGGGTATAGAGAAGACCAGGCGGTCGTGTCTGTAGAGGAGATGTCCGTACTGGTCCTAGTACGAGCTGCCCCATAGCAGCAGAATAGGGGATTCCGATGAAACCATGACGCTTGGGCAAATTTTGCATAGTCAACCAAAATGGTTTAATGTGGACGCATCGGAGGGTGCAGACTTAGCGTGTTAGTTGATGCTTTAGCGTCGGGTTACTAGTCAGGGACAGAAAGCTGAGGATGCATAGTCAAACTAAGGCCGCCCTTAGCGTGCTTGTCCAAACACAAGCTTGGGGTCAGCACAAGAGCAGAGGATATAATCAAACAATTCCATCCATCACCGGTCATGCATCTGCGGTGAGACCTGAGCTGTAGACACAGCAGTCTAGATTTTCGTTGATCAATATGACGCAGTCGATGCTGACCAGGAAGCAGGGGGGTAATCGTTGCCTGAAGAGGCGTTCCTGACCCAAAGTGCTTATACCCTTGGTACGTTCTTTGGGAGACTCCAGTCCCCACACCGACTTCGTCCCCCCAATGGCCTGAGCTGCCGGCTGCCCGCTTTATCCGATCCCTAGTTGAAGCACAAGTCCGGAGGAGAAACAGGATAGATTTCCCCTCTCTCCTCCCTCCCCACCTTCCCCTGCGACTACCACAGCCAGAGGGTCAAGGCGTATCTGGAATTTAGAAGCCATTGTGCAAGCTCTGTAACAAATAGTGGAAGTTTGATTACTCGCAACTCGTTGGGCTGTGTGGTGCCATGCGAACTCTAATAGGGGCCGGAAGAGTCAGGTGTTTGTTGCAACGTTGAAGTGTAGGTTTTAAGACCTTAAAGGTTAACCCGGTTTTGGGCGAACCTCGGAGGTTTACCTGATTTGACTCATTATTGACTGACCAGACCAGGTCCGACCGGGTTACCCCTGGAGAACAAACCTGCAACTGAAAATTGAGCCAATCTAGAACAGAATAGGCGACTGGAGCTGAAGACACGATGGTACACTGTATCGGTAGCTAATAGTCGGAGTAGTTTGGACGAGACTATTGTGGAAGTGGACGTGGTTGTGGTTGTGGTTGTGGTTGTGGGCATATTCGTGAACACGGAGAGATTCCGATGGGAAAACAAGCAGGCAATATCAGGTGAGGTCAGGTGGCCGGCCAGAAACCGATTGACTTTATTTGCTGCTTTCTTCTTCCCTCTTCAATTTTCATTCTTCTCCTACTCCGAGAGAGCCACCTTCACGTCGCCATGTTTCAAGCTGGTACTAGTCTAGTCTCACTGTACCACTGTCTCTGCCTGTTATTCTTAGCCTTGCCAACCCCCACGGTTCATCGATTTTTCTCAAACGGCCGATCTCAGACTAGTATCTGCCCTGACAGTCCCAAAATCTAAATCAAACGCCTATATCAGTAGCCACAAGTCATTCGTGACGATGTGTTGCCGTCCACATAGGGGGTGCAGTCAGCGCATGTTAGGTTCATGCTGCTACGGTTACTCGCCAGCATGATGCATACTCCATTAAGCACCATTCGATTCCCTGATACTGTCTATCTATACTGATGGACGTTCTCGCAGTCTTGATGTTGCTTCAGCAGATCAGCAGAGGGTGGGTCTCCATTCCGAGATTTGACCGGATCGAAATCGCAGAACAAGCGTAGGGCATGTGTGCGATGGTGGGTATTCTATCCACTCCAGCGATCCAACCCGGTGCATCGTTGGGGCATCGTTATCTGCTCAGTATCTGCACTAAGTCTGAGGTCGACAGCTCGCACGTCACATTCTGACGATCGGTGCTTGAAGGTGTGCCACAGGTGGGTTAGGTGCTGAAGATTCAGTGGCTTCTTTTCACCCGGACAAGAAGCTATGACCATCGATTCTTCCAGTGGCGATCAGGATGTCGTGCCTCAGAAGGACGCTGTTCAGGCAGGTCGTTCGATCTGAACTTGCTAAAGCTATCACGAAAGAAGATTTGAGCGGTGGCCTCCATGAAACGCGTTGGGCTGACATTGACAACCTGGCGAGTCAGGTGTTCTGTGGAGGTCCCCTTTGATTGACAGGTGAAACAAGGAGAATTAAACCAGCTGACATCCAGCGGAGGGGTGAACCTACATATCTCACACAGTATCTGACTTGTTGCGGTTTTGACAAGCATGTACATTCTCGATGTCCAGTATTTCCTTATGCGGCCATTCTCAGCCAAGAGAGGGAACCCGAGATGCTACACTGACGAACCCACAAACTTATTTAATTCAGAAGACGACAATAAACCCACTGATTTGATATAGCCCGATCGTAATATTGTATATCTGCCGTAAGTGTTTTGTCCATACGTTGACTATGATGCAGAGCGGAGGATAACTCTGCTCCGGACCGCCCTTATATTGAGTGTCCGAGATCTGTGTGTCGAAAATGGTATATACTTGCTGACCGAGAATTGAGGTAATGAAAACAAGCTACTGATCTTGCCTCATCCAACTTGATGGCTGAAGCATACTTAAAGTAATTGATATGATGGCATTGCTATCCGCATTGTCGGCGCCGAATGGCTCTTGATGGCCTAAATTAAGGACAAATTCGTGAAATAGACCGATATAGATATTTTACTCAGTTTATATTTTAAATTCTGTCGGTTGTTCAATTTTAATGTCAGCCTGGTTGAAGGTAATCATACTCTTGGTGAAGTTGTATTATCGTGCCAGATGCAGTGCCTTCTCCATGGAAATATATTCTTTACTGCGGGTTTCATATCATCTTGGCCAGGATCATACCGCTGTTAACCACTGAGCATTGGCAAGGAGTCATTAACATATCTGTGCATACTAAATAGATAAGCACATAAGCACCTTAAATTGCCCTGCCTGCTAAATTGCATCCTTCTCTATTCTTGATATATGACGATGGTTCGTGCAGCAATGCCAGCGCATGGATGGAGGTGCTGATTAGCGGACATTTATTGAACCGTGCGTTACAGTCGCCCCCAACCATCGCCAAACGCCACAGTGTAAGATGCAGGTCCCATGTATTTCGTATTATACTTACATTAGAATCATTTTATACTGATGCTACTTTCAAGTTACTACAAGTGTGTGGTAATTTGTTCCCCGTAGTTCGAAGCAAGGAGTTACGAGAGTGGGAGTACTCCGTACAGCGGCAGCTCCTCGTTGTTTTGGTCAAGGTCATTGCCCGGGGCAACGGGTAAACTTCACGTGACCATCCACTTCCCAGCCTCGCGCATTACGGCGCAAGTTCAATGTTTCGATGTTTCGAAGCCAAAACGACCACAACACAAACCCGCCCGCAGCGCCCCCCACGACTTCGACATACTGACCCCTCACAGCAGCTGCTTTTTTTTGTGCTTCTGGGAGGAGCCTAGGCCCGGACACTCTTTGGTGGACATGTCTATGCGGCATTGCCCCCAATTGTCATGATGGCCTCTCCCTATTCCTCCTCAACAGCAGCTTACAACACACGGCTGCATCGCCAGCCTTCGTCCCGACAAATGTCCCGCGCCGCGTCTCGCTCAGGGTCCAGGCGGACCTCACCAGAAATCCGCAATTCGCTTTCATATCGGAGCAACAGTCTATCTGCCGGGCAATACACCGCCGGCGATAGTTCAGATGACGAAGTCCCTGAACCCAAGTTTAGCGCGTCGGTCAAGGCCTTACTGGATGAGGATGGACTCGACCTGTCGCCCCGTCTACGCAACAAGAACCTGGGCTCGGCGGGATCAAGCCAGGAAAGGCGATCGCGGACCACATCGCCCCTTGACCAGTCCAATGGCAGTCCCGCGCCCCGTGTGGTTCGAATCGCATCTTCGCTCAGCCGGAGAGAAAGCTCGCCGTTAGCCAATACCGAGATTGCAGAACCCGAGGAACGAAACGACGTGAAGAATGACTTCATCACGCCAGCACCACGCACACGGAGTGTTCGCATCAATGCTTCGCGCAGTAATACCCGGTCGCCCGCATCCCTATCGCCGTCCCAGAGACGGTCGGCTGAAAGGAGTTACATCGACGAGCATGAGCATGGAAGCGCGACACGCTCAGGGGAGAAAAGCTACGACGACGAGTATGCTCCGCGACTTGGCACTGCATCCGTGCTCCGCACTCGCAACATTGAAGACATGGGCATGCACAGCTCATTGCGCGTCAAACGTGTCGGGCGACTGACCGGTACTTTCTTGAATGGACCTGCGCGGAGGGGTGTATTACGGCGACAAAGCGAAGAAAACGAGATCCGAGAGACTGATTATGATCTAAATAACGATAACGAGCACTACCACTACAAGAATACAGCGAAGTCTTCATCGCCCAAAGTCTCGTGGGCCGACCCGAGCCCGCCGCAGAGAACTGAAGAACACCGAGACCGAAACCGAGACCGGGATGCGATGGGCGATGGCTTGTTTTCCAGATCCTCTTCTCCGAAGTCATATGGATCGCACTCCAAATCTACCCCGGGCTCTTCGTCGGAAATGTCATCGAAGCCATCCAGCGCCAAGGACCAGCCGGTATTCAAAGTACCTCCCCCGCCAACGTTACCTTCAAATCGTGACCAGGAGAACGAGCCACCACCGACTTTCAAGCGAGCCAAACCGCAAGGCTTCAACCTACTTGATAAGCCCGTGGTTTATGAGGAAGAGAAGAAGGAAAAGGAGAAGGAAACCCCCGCAGACAGGAAGATCCTCGCCATACGAAGCAACAACACCCCTCATCGGCCAGCTCCGCCTCCTCCAAAGATGTCTGTCCTCGAAACTGCCACGGCTACTGGCGGCGCCGCTACAGCATCTCATTCTCGCAAGAAGCGCAACCAAGTTTCGGTCAATCACAAGCCTTTTACTCGGCTTGACTGCATTGGCCGCGGAGGAAGCTCGCGTGTTTATCGTGTGATGGCCGAGAACTACAAGATCTTCGCCTTGAAGAGAGTTAACCTCGAAGATGTCGATCCTGTGACATTGGCCGGTTACAAGGGTGAAATTGATCTGCTCAAGAAGCTTGAGAACCTGGACCGTGTTGTGCGTCTTTTTGACTGGGAGTTGAATTCGGACAAGCACACCCTGAGCGTTCTTATGGAGATTGGTGAATCCGACCTCGAAAAAGTGCTTACCTACCGACTGAATGCGGAAGATGCAAGATTCGATATCAACTTCACTCGCTACTACTGGAAAGAGATGCTAGAATGTGTCCAAGCAGTCCACGACTACAATGTCGTTCACTCCGATCTCAAGCCGGCCAACTTTCTGCTTGTCCAGGGCCGATTGAAGCTCATCGACTTCGGTATTGCTAATGCAATTCAAGACAACACGGTCAACGTGCACCGCGAACAGCAAGTGGGGACGCCCAACTACATGTCCCCCGAGGCTCTGATCGACTCCAACGCCTCCCTCGGCTTGCCGGCAAGCGTGGGGAAGATGATGAAATTGGGCAAGCCCAGCGATGTCTGGAGTCTGGGATGCATTCTTTATAAGATGGTCTACGGCCAGCCGCCGTTTGCGAAGATCGCCAAATACTACGAACGAATCCTGGCCATCCCCAACCCCAACGTGAAGATCGACTTTCCCGCCTTCGCCGTTGGCGGCGTCCCCGTACCGCCAGGTCTGGTTCGCACCTTGAAGCGGTGTCTCCAGAGAGACCAGACCCTCCGTCCGACCGTCGAAGAACTCCTCAGCCAGCGCGATCCCTTCCTGTACCCCGACGCGCAGCTCGAGTCAGCAGTCCCCGTGACGCAAGATATGCTCAATCGCATCCTGGTCAACGTGGTCAACCACTGCCGTGTCCGCGGCATTCCCAAGGACGAAGAACTCGCCGCCTGGCCGGCCGGTTTCTTCGCCAAGATCAAATCAGCCCTCGAAGAGGGCCCATGACTCTGACCGGCGTGATCCTGTCATGCGCTTTGCGTCTGCATACCTACCAACCTACCTACATAATTTCCCATATTCTGATTCAACGCCCCCCCCTGTTGGTACATTACCAACACCTTGATATCCCAAATACTCCCGGCGCTGGCCTAGTCTCCCACCACCACTACCACCACCATCCCACATAAGGTGAAACAGGATATAACTCCCCTTTTGTGTATGCCATAATCCCCTACATTCTCATCTTCCCTTCTTGTCCCATTCTTGGACCCACCACTTTTTTTCCTCATTTCTTCTTTTTCTTTTTATATTCACCTTCATCCTTACCACATATTTTGGATACCACCAACAACCCCGAAAACCAAGCCGGGGCGTGATCCATCTTCTCATCCACCTTTCTTGTGTGTCTCGCGCTTCAGCCAGGTTTTTGATCAACTTACAATCCGTGTGGAATGTATTTATCTATTGATTGAGTGATTGCATTATTGGGAACGCTGGAGCAATCATCCAGCCAGCAAAGAGCATGGTGTATCTGGAGTTTTTGGCAGTGTTCTGTCTGGAGCTTTCTTTGTCTATTTTGCTTGCACTTTTGATAATCTGGAATAGTATGGTTCATTTATATGATATGAGCTCAAGAGACTTTTTTTTTTTTCGGAAAAGAAAATCCTGCTTCACTTCGGTGGTGCTCTGATTCAGTGTGGGTTTATTGTCCGGTGGGGACGGTTGTTGTTTCTCTTGGTAGGATTGTTCTTGAGGGAAATAGCTCTGATGGACATGGGGTTATTTGCATAGATATGGGTACATTAGGACGGTGTAGATGGACTCCGGATGATTAAGTCAGTCTTTTCAGACATACGTAAACGAGTCACGGTTCGAGAGGGCCTAAGTAGCCATTAATACCGGATATAGCAGCAAAAGACACAAGAATCAAATGATCAGGTAGAGTGAGTTATCAATTCAATTGGAGGTCTTGGATCTAGCTACTATGGTCGAGAGCGATTCGATAACGGGAATCTCTTTTAGAAAAGTCAAAGGAACGAGCACACTTTGCGCGCCACTAACGCCACACCAATGAGGAAAATATATCCACTGAGGAAATACAACGAAGAGAACGAGCACAACCAACGCAAGAGGGCCGAGTTATAGGAGAACGGATTGATAGAAAGAGCCGTTTGTCATGATCGTTGACAGGGAAGCGGGTGTTTTGGGTTTAGTTAAGGAGAACAGCGCTAACAGAAAAGGTTAGCATGTGAACTTCAGAGGCGTAGTAAGATGACCGATTGAGACTTACTTGACGGTGCCGTCGAGATCGGGGTTGTTGGTCACCTGGCAATACTTTCCCCAAACAACCTGGATGATTGTGAGCTTTCCTCCATATGCAGAAATATCCGGAGATATTGTATCGTACCTTTCCTGACGTGGTGACAAGTCCCAGCTCGGAGACGTTGACTTCGAGCACGGTACCCTTGGTCAGAACACCCAGTTGGGTGTAGAGGGGGTTCTGAGGGTTCTTTTTAACGGAGAGGATAGGAAGCTGAACGGTGACACCCAATTCGGGGCTAAGAGCGGGGATTTAGCGTCAGTCATGATCAGAACAAGCTTGTGACAGGCACCAGGGACACTCGAATGAAGATCCGCAAAACCAAAACAAAAACATATTCCAGATTGATAGTTGATGGAGGGGCAGGATTTCAGAAAGTACGTACTGCGTAACGTTGGCCTTCTTATAACGGAGACCCATCGGGCGAATGAAGCGTTCGTACTTGACGGGTCTGCGGGTGAAATCGTTGCCGACGAACGTGGGCTTGGTGATCATGCGCTTCCACGACTTCTTGTGTGTCTTCTTTCCGGTGTTGACGACCTTGAACATCTCCTCCTCACTGATACCCTTAACCTTGGGCAAGGGCACAGCGAACTTGGCGGCCTTCTCATTCCGCTTGTCCTTGATAGCGCTGGAAAGGGCCTTGGCGTTGGTAGCCTGAGAACGGTCGAGCAGGTACTGGGGCAGAGGAGTCTTGGAAGGCTCTTCGGGGGCGGAAGACTTGACGTTCTTCTCCTCCTGGGCCTTGATGCGCTTCCGCATCTGAATCTTCTCCTTGTGGCGCTGCTGCTGGTACAGCTTGGCCCTCAGACCGCGCAGGTTCTGGGCATCCTTGGACTGCTTGTGTCCCTCACGGGCCTGCTTCTTGCGGGCGCGCTCATCGTGATCGAGGCGCTTACCGTGCTGCTTCGTCCAGCGCTCGATATACCTGTGACATGGTCAATTTTTGCTTCCTCGGTCATGCAATTGCTCGGAAAGGTGCGACGAACTCGTTCTGAGGCTGTTGATTGTAAAATCAAGAGTTAGCAAGTATTCCAGTCAGAATAATAGAGCTATTCCGTAACATACCATAATGAAAGAGCGTGTAGAATGGCAAAATCAACAGAGTGGGGGAGATGATAACGATCAAGAAGAAAGATGATTTCAAAAAAGTTCGAGGCTTGGCGCGCGGCAACCCCGATAAGTCACGTGTCATAACTTTATCGTCCCGTCCGGAATTTCATTCTTCGTACCCCCGGAGGCCATTGAATATTTGTTGATTGACTGCGTCCACCACCAGCCAGCAGGGTTCGAACTTGCCTCACCACCACTGAGCAAGCCCGTAAAACCTCCTTGCCGATTCAACCTATCATGTTCTCGCGCACTGCCCTCGCCCGGGCTTTCGCCCTCCCCGTCGAGCAATGCGCCCACTTCTCCGTCGCCCGGGCCTGTCTTCACAGCGCAGCAACAGCCTCGACGACCACGACGACACAACCACAGGCCCCATTGAGCGCCACTCCCCGGGTCCAAACCTCTGCGCCTTCTACAAAGCCCCCAGCCAGCGCACCCCTCGATCCCGCCAGCCTTAAGAAGCCCGTGGCCCCGACATTCACCAAACCACTCGAATTGAACCAATCCCTCCTCTCTCAGCTTCCCAACCTCACCTCTCAGCAGCCGCACTACATCATCTCGCACCTCCACGACAAGCCGTACCTTCTCACGCAGGGTGATCAGATTCGCCTGCCCTTCCTCATGCCTAATGTCAAGCCGGGCGACGTGCTCCGGTTCAACCGCGCGTCCGTGCTGGGCTCGCGCGAATTCTCGCTCAAGGGCGCCCCCTATGTCGATGAGCGGCTGTACGAATGTCGAGTGCGTGTCATGGGTGTCGACTCGGAACCCCTGCGTATCAAGGAGAAGACGAAGCGGAGACGGCGCCACGTGCAGCAGGTCCGGAGCAAGCACAAGTATACGTTGCTGCGGGTGATGGATGTGAAGATCAAGACGGCGGAGGAGTTGCTGCAGGAGGGAGCAGTGGTTGTTGATGAGACGGCTTGAAAGGTTGGAAAGTAATCATGGAACTGATAAAAGCCAAGGAGTGGACGGAGGAGAACATGATGCCAGGCATATATTGCGGGACGTCTCGGCTGGGCAGAGCTGGCTGGTCATGATGACCAGGACCTGCAATCACAGGCGATTTTATGTACAGATAGGAAGTGTGTCTGTTTCATGCACCGAGTGGTGCCTTTGTATTGTATCTCATAATTGGGTTTTCGAATGCTCATGTTTTTCTTTTTTTCTTTCATGAGGACCGAGAGAATGTGAGGCTATTGACCAGGCTCAGGAGGTTGAATGTCTCTCAGTTGTGACAACAATCGACAAGCGAGAACGGTGAGTGCTGATGGTCTGTGTTTTATCCTGCGGTGGTAGTATCTCCTCCCCGTTTGGGAATTGTTGTATCACGTTTGCTCTTGCCAATAAAGGCAATGAATCTCTCTCAAGTCAATCCTCCGATGCGGATTCACTGCCAAATATGCTTCTCTCATCTTGATCACACAGGTATCGTTCCATGTCCACATCGTTATCGCCTATGCCTTCATTGCCCTCGGAGCATCGTTAGCCTCTTAGTCTTCCCTATCCTTATTCCTCCAGACGATTCCATCCTGCTAATGCATGTACCTTTTCGCCATGCGTACCTCCACGCTTCTGTTGAGCCTCGCAGCTGCAGCCTGCGCTCATGAGGAACATGACCTCAACCTGTTCCACTATGGGCGACGAGGCCCTCTCCTCGGAACTTCATTTGGCATTCCCGGTGTGAACGCAACCTTTGACTATCTCGTCGTTGGAGGCGGAACGGCTGGCCTGACTATCGCGAGTCGACTTGCCCAGAGTGAGCGTTTCAGCGTTGCGGTCGTTGAAGCCGGTGAATTCTTCGAAATCAACAATGGCAACCGATCTGTCGTCCCCGCTTATACGACAAATGTTGCATGCCAGGATCCCTCCGAGTATCATCAGCCACTGAACGATTGGGGCTTCAAGACGCAGCCGCAGCAAGCCCTGACTGGTCGCGTCTTCCACTGTAGATACGGCAAGGGCCTCGGAGGCAATTCAGCTGAGAACTCTATGTTCTACATCCGCCCGACCAGAGACAGCATGCAAAAGTGGGCAGAGGATGTGGGTGACGAGAGCTACCTCTTCGACAACATGCTGCCATACCTCAAGAGATCCATTCGGTTCACTCCGCCAGATCCAGCCATCTGGGGCACACACACTAACCTACAAAATGAAGACGCTTTCGATACTCGTGGTCCTCTTGAAGTGTCAGCGGGGAATTGGGTCGATCCACTCGCTATTGCCATGCGCAAAGCGCTAATCGATGGACTTGGCTTCAATGAGACCGAGTTCAACAGTGGCAGCTTGATGGGCTCCGGGTTCCCAAGTCGAACAATCAACCCGAGAAATGCTCATCGTTCCTCGTCAGAGTCCAGCTTCCTGCAAGAGACTCTCGACCATGGAAGTAAGCTCACAATCTATAAGAGTACGCTCGCCCAGAAGATCCTGTTCAACGGTGGAGATAAGACTGCTACAGAAATCCGCGTCTCAACGGCCGGCACATTCGGCACATCGAACCTTGACTTTTTCCTCAGTGCTCGCCAGGAGATCATCGTGTCAGCAGGAGCTATACAGTCTCCGCAATTGCTTATGGTCTCCGGCGTTGGTGAATGTGAACAACTCTCTAGATTCGGGATCACTTGCATGAGCCACCTGCCAGGCGTTGGGAAGAACCTGCAAGACCATCCTCTTTTGACGACAACATGTCGCGTAAATGACTCCACAGTGCACTCTACAGTGAGTGACGTGCAAGTGCAGCAATACCTCAAGAACGCTGCAGGACCATTGACAGTTCCTGGTCATGGGTATTTAGGCTTTGAGAAGCTGCCGCAGCCATATCGATCACGGCTGTCCGAGGAATCCCTAATGGCTCTTTCAGATTTCCCCGAGGATTGGCCCGAGCTTGAATGGCTGAGCCCTGCCGTGAAACAAGACAACAAGATTAATTGGGGAGTTAACGCCACCTTGGGAGCAAAAATCCTGACAATGTTCTCCCGCGGGACGGTCTCCTTGGCCAGTCCGGACATGTCCACATCACCCATCATTGACCCGCAATGGTTCGCCGACCCTAGGGACATGAAACTCTCGCTCCAAACATTCCGACGGAGTCAGGAGATGTGGGCGCAGCTTGCTGATCTCGGAATGGTTGATCTGGACAATTGCTTTCCCGGATTTGAGGTGAGCACGGATGAACAGATTCGCGAATACCTACAACAGTATGCGTCGGCCTTCAATCATGTCTCATGCACGTGTAAAATGGGACAGAAGAACGATCCTATGGCCGTGGTTGACAGTGCCGCTCGAGTGTTTGGAGTGCAGCATCTGCGAGTAGTTGATGCCAGCAGTTTTCCTTTCCTGCCACCAGGCCATCCGCAGTCCATAATCTACGCATTGGCCGAGAAGATCGCGGATGAGATTTTGCAGGCATAGCTCTGGTGTGGCAGAATGTCGTTTGTCGTGGGTCTTGGACTGTGTATATAAGTCATTCTTAGAGGCATCAATTTAGACCATCGGGCGCAGCGTTCCATAAGCGTAGTCTATCTAGACGCCTAGAATAGTGCTGTGCTCAACTACACCCACTCTCAAGATCAATCTTCTCCAACCCCAACTCCCGACAACACCGCTCCAAACTCTCCGCCTGCACACACTCATACAACGCAAACTCATCCGCAATCGACCCGCCCAACATCCGCTGAAACCCATCCACATCCGGCCCCGCCTCCATAACTAACCTTCCTGACAGGCTCGTACTTCCCAGATTCGAACTGAAGATACCCCCGGCCGACAGCGGCAGAAAGTCCTCGTACTTAATGGGCTCATACTCCAGCACACCATCTTGCACAAGCTGCGCCAACCCCGCTTTCCCTTCTCCTCCTCCTGCCCCAAAACTCGCCGCTTTCGAGGCAACGCTATAGCAGAAATAAGCTAGCTTTTGCGACCATAACTCGCTCAACTCATCCGGGAATGACTGGAAGTGGTACACAAGGAGCTGCTCATACTGCGCCTCGTTAGCTGCGTCGTCATTTGCGAGCTGCAGCAGCTGCGCAGCATCAGCGTTCACGCGCGCCAGAATAGCGTCGTATAGCTCCCTGCCCTTAGGCGTGAGAGCAAAGCCCCGCTGCTCGACCTCGCCGAAGCGCGCGGTATGGGTGCCTTTTATGTAGTCGCTATGACTGTGGTTGTGGTTATGGTTATGGTTATTGTGGCGGAAGAAGACCGTCTCTTCTCGTGCTTTGAAGCTAGTTTGTCGGAGGAGGATCGAATACTGTCGGCGCGGGGGGCCCTCGATGCGCTCCTTGGCTGGGAGACCCGCTTCCCGCATTTTTGTCTGCACGGCGTCGATGTCGAGAGTGCGAGGCGTGAGGTGGTTGATGTGGCTGCTTGGGAAGGAGACGATGTCAGCGATGAGCGGGTGTTCTGCTTTCAGGGTCTCGTATTCGTCTAGCGTGACGGTTGCGTGCGAGTGCCAGCGGAAGGTCTCGAGGGCTTCGGTGATCAGGGCTTCGCCTTCTTTTTGGGTCAGGGCTGGGTGGTGCTGGCGCTGGCGGGTTTCGGCGCTTTGAAGGAGGGTGAGAAGTCGATCGGTGAAGATGGAGCGCTGCGAGAGGGCGCGCTCGGCGAGCGTGCGCGTGCGTGCTGTTAGTAGGTCCATTCTGAGGACCGTTGTGAAGACGCGGAATGGGTGCCGGGATAGGGCTTCTGGGCTCGTTGGTCGGAAGGCTGTTGCGTGCATTGGGAATCCCGCTGGCGTCAGATCGTAGTAGCCTACTGCGTGCATGCCCATTACGGCGAATAGGCGCCGGATCGTCGCCAGCTCTTGCGCTGTGCCGAGGCGGATTGCGCCGTGGCGCTCGACGCGGTGCCGCGCGGGGAGGATGGTGTCTGGGCTGGTTGTCGGGGTGCTATTGGGGTGTCGGGCGAGGAGGGTCTCGGTGTCGGTTTGGTGGACGAGCTGGACGAGGTCGCCGTAGAGTGGGACTTCGGCTCTGTACATCTCGGAGAGCGCGTGGCAGAACTTGGCCCGTAGGGTATCTTGCGTCCATTCTTGAGGCGTTGTCATGATTGAGTCGAAGCGATGTGGGATGTTTCTCAGAGGCGAGAGAATTGTAGTGTGTGCCTGGTGGTAGCCGAGGAGTGGTCGAAAGGATATTCGGTGTCGATACATGAATGATTATCACTTGCTTGTACACTAGGAAAGACAAGATAGACCGATCAATCTGAGTGGTCAAGCTGGAGGAGGAACGACGTACCAGGCAGTCTATATAAGACTGCTCATGCCTTTGATGTCCGACATCAGTTTCATATAAGGCTGGCCAAGCCCATTGCCTGCATATCCTTCTCCTCATGCACAACCATAATGGCAGGTCTCCCCGGGTGGTTCATCTCATACCTCGCTGCGTATAGCCGCCTTGTGCATGGAATCACGGGCTCAGCTGCTTTATCCGGCGGGAACTGATCGCAGTCCGATGCAAGCCTATGGACTCGTGGTTGGTAGACTCATCCATCGGATTCGTGCTTCGAGAGTCCCCCGTACCAAGCGGGGTGGCGTATTGATCTCGATTTGATTCGACTGGTTCTAAGACGAAGGTATATCCGGGGACTGTGATAGGCAGCCAGACCAATGGGAACACAAACACTTGAGGACTTCCGTCGGATGAATCGGGTGAATTTGCAGTGCAGTAACTGTGAGCAATTTCATAGTGCAGTGGAGAGGAGTGGAAATCGAGGGTGGTTGAGACCGGTCGAGCGAACATTCTCTAAAAGTGGTTCGACAACGAAGTACTTTGGTAAATGGAAGTAAAGATGTATTTCAAGACTTTCCGGATTAAATCGAGACGGAGATATTCGAACCATGGAGGCCTCGACTCCCAGGGAACTGGAGAGCATAGAATGCAGACATTGGTGATGGGTGACCATACCACTTACATTTACTGGGAGCAAGGCTACGTCACCCAGGATCCCAAGACTACAACTGAAGTATATAGAAGGCCAGGTGTCATTGCGCCACCAGTGCTGTACAATATGTACTCAACTTAAATTGATGTAGTCTGTGACTTTCTAATTCAATCCTCCGTCTTACGAGGAGGAGGAGGGCTCTTCTTGACCAGAACAAAGTCCTGTTCCAGAAGCCAAAATCCAGTTGACTCTTTGCCATCGATCGTCTTGACAATCGGCGTCACGGTGTGCTCCTTAGCCAACTCCAAGTCCTCGCACCACTTGTAGCCCACAATCAAGCTCTTCTTCACTCCAAACACAGTGTCGCTCTCCACAAAGTTGCTGTCTCGGGAGTACAGGGCGGTGATTAATTTGGTGTATTTAGGGTGCTCGATCATGAAATGCTATCGAAGATCAGTGTCTAGCCATAAATCTGAGTCCGGGGGATCAAACCATATGAGCTGGGCGGAATCAATGCCGCTTGAGCTTGCGCAACAACTCGCCGACTGGGCCTTCGTTGGAGATTGGATAGGCCACAGGCTTGACACAAACGAAGAGGTAATGGCCCTTCTCCCTTCTCATTGGAGAAGATCTTGCCACGGCAATTGGGGTCTGCGTTGCCGTCGTGCTCCAGATCGTACACTCCATTGCCGTCGGTTTCCCAGACGTCGATCAATGCCTTCGGCACGGTGTTGCCATCTGTATCCTTGATCCAACCGCGTACAATTGTGGGCTCGCCGGGGGTGCCCTCCGTGAAGATTGACTCTCCGTACTGGAATGAATGCGCCTCTTCGTCGTGAAAGGGACCCAGCACCGAGGATTCAGTGGCACCAGGCACAGCGGGGTACGAGATGGCATCGACTAGCGCGGAAATCCCCAGAATATCCGATAGAAGGACGAACTCGTGACGGACATCGGTGGAGATTTGACCGACCTAAAGTTACCCCCGTTGGTCTGAGTTTGGATTTGAGAACGATCGAACACTCACTTTGGTCAGGAATTCCCAAGCCTGCTCCCACTCATCAAATTGTAGGCCAACCTCCCGTACGTAGTCATGGGCCGCCTGAATCAACTTCAGGATCAGATATCTCAACCGCGGGTTGTCGCACATGGAGTTGATCTTCATCACATTCTCCGTGATGTTCTCAATGGTCAGGTCGAGCATTGGAGGGAGGTTCGCTGCAATTTTCTCTGGCGTCGATGCAGCCGCCCATTTGGCCCGGGTTCTTTCACTGAGCCCCTCGACCGCCGGAGCTCCGTTGGATTGTTGCTCAGACATTGTGAAGTTTGATGTTTGGTAAGAAGCCTATCAGCGATATTTGAGGACTAGACAGCCGCATAGACATGGTGAACTGTCTCTTATACTGCGTCCGCCTCCAACTCGCCTCGGTTAAGGTCGATCTGATTTCCGGAGCCAAAAGCACACACCTTCCCCACATCCGCACAATGCGGGGTACAGCTAGCGTTGAGATGCCAGGTATTCGCATCTTGAGTATGGTAGGCTGGTAGCTCAACAGATCCGTCGGAGCGGAAAGATAGTGCGGAGATGGGTGATGGTTCCGACGGAGCAAAGAAGCGTGGCGGAGGAAATGGACATCCGCAAACAGACCTGGCATTGACCGGCAGCAATGGAATTGTGCATTATATTCAATGACAATGCTGAAGCTTAATGATGGATGCCATCCTTGCGATGAGAGGAGGAGCGACCCCTGTTGCCCATATGGCGTTATTCCGTCAAAGTGTACTCAGTTTCGTCACGGAGCACAGACAACAATTCGTAACAATGTACTGTACCTGGGGCCAAAGCCGACAATGATGATGCTGGAAGAGCTTTCCGGCTTGTGGCCTCACGATCCATCTTTGTCTGAGTGAGCTGGTGAATCGCGTCACGCTGCAGCTTGAACCGATGTTCTTTTCCGCCGTTGATGTCAGGCGGAGAAAACCGAGCCAGCCATGACGTACCGATAGTGAAGCTGTCCAAACGATAAGCACCATGATTGGAACATCATTGAGCTTGTTTCGACTGCAGGACTGCGGACGGCCATCGAAATCTAGAATAGACCGGCATCATCTGCAGAACAACTTTGCCAATGTCATCATGCCTGTCGTCAGTGACTCGAAAGAACCAATTGATCACTGGGGATTTGTGAACGAGCAACGAAGAAACTCAAGCTTGGCAACGAAATAAGTTAGTTTAGGAACGAGTTTCGAAGTCGGCATATCCGCAGTCGCCATGGAAGGAGATTCCCAAGACCACTATGTCCGAGTGTTAAGGACGCATAAATGAAGTGACCCCGGACCCCACCAAAACCCCGGATTATCCATCAATTTGTCGGTCGTGCTCATCGGGAAATCCCGTGTGGTTTGCACGGCATCATCGGCTGAAGCGATCTGCGGTCGGTGGATTAGAACCGAAGAGCCAATCCTCTCTAGCGTATCTGGTGTGTGGAGTAGGTTAAGCCTGCTGAAGATTCCAATAACCTCATCAACAACACCCCGACCTCACCACAAGGCGCATTGGAACATAGGCCGTGGAAGAAATACAGGAGACTGCCTTGAGCGGGAGTTCGTCGTGGCCATGGATGATGGAGGGGGAAATGTGCCGGTGACGGCCAAGCTGCGGTCGTCGCGCCGACGTCCGCCGCGTGCTTCCCGTGCCTGCGAGACTTGTCGGGCTCGCAAGACCAAAGTAAGTCTTTACTTACTCCTCCATCAATACTTTCCTTCCCTTGGTTGTCTGCTTCCAATTGGACCCCTCCCGCTAACAATTGTGGACGACAGTGTGACCAGGCTCAGCCCTGTTCTTATTGTGCTTGTATGGAACCCACTCAAGCTCAGCAGCCCCTTGGTATGTGAGCGACATGTTTACTCATTCATCCTTCAGATCATTCGCTTGATTGTCTCTATAGAGCTGCAGGTCCAAACGAGACCGCATCTGCAGCGAAACGCCAAGCACAAATCCGCGAGGCTCAAAGGTACGCAATACCTCTTTTACGATCGCTGCAATTCACAGCTGAATCTTGGATCAAGACAGAAGACCAGACCCTCACCCTGGCCAGAGGTCGACCAGGGACGACGATATGATGGCTTTCAGCATGTGAACCCACCAGATCACTTTGCCAGAGGGATATCAAGCGGCCCTCGAGGGGTTGACGATATCAACACTAGCTCACCTAGTGTTTTCACTCCTAAGCGCGATGACGAAACAGTTATCGGTAAGTGAATCCTCAATTGATCAAGTCTGATTATCTAGCCTACTCACTCTTTGATGCTCAGCCGCTACCCCCGAGCTGGTGGGTGACTCCGCTTCGAGAGATGGATTGAGTGGTGTCAATATCCATACCAATGGCACAGAGTTCTACGGCAACTCCTCCAATCTAGCCTTCCTTGGTAACTTATACGCTCGAGCTCGGAATCAGGCAGAGAACAAGGGATTGGCTGCCTCTAATAATGAGCATACTTATACTCCGATTGAAGGTCCTATCACGAGTCTCGGCGCGCTGCAGACCGACAGAAATAGCTTCAACCAGGTGACTTCCAATTCTACAGCGGATAAACAGTCGGAGGGCGCGCAGCCTACAACTAACAAGACGCAACTATCAATCGTAAATCTGCTCTATAACCCGAAATACCCTCGCCATTCCCCTCGCCAGAGCAGTGGGCAAAGTGACAATGACAAAATTGAAAGCCCGAAGAATGTGACGAGCTCTCAGAACACGACCCATGGGTTTTCAGGTAAGTGGATGAGATCTCAAATCACTGAATCCAGTGCTCAGCGCTGAATAAGAGATTCAGACACAAGGCACGAGCATGAAATCCTACCCATCATTGAAAACATTCCAGGAGAATCTCAGATTGAGATTGAGAAAATGTTCATTAGCAGTTACTTCTGCAACAAGCATCATATACACCCTATGCTGTGTAAAAGCGCTTTTATGCAACGTTGCGAGCAAGAGGCCTTCATGACATCCCGACGAGCTGGTTTATACTGTGGATCCTCGAGATTTGCTGGGCTATACTTTGCCGTGGTTGCTCTGGGTGCGATTAACGCCAGTCCACATGAAACTGCCCTTCTTGACCATTACTGCAATTACGGTCCCGAACCAGAGAGAACCAACTCTATGAGCAGAAGACCCTCGGCTCTAGATTTTGCCGATTCCTACTTTGGCCGAGCTAAAAGAGCTCTAGGGGATTTGTTCGAAAGCTGCAGCTTGGAGGGAGTGCAGGCGCTTCTGCTATTGGTAAGTCTCCGTCACCCTGATCGATACACTATGCGCGTTGAGCTATGCTGACCCATGATGCTCAGAGTGTATTCTGTCAGAACGCTCTCCGACTGCATAGTTGTTTCATGTATAGTGGAATGGCCGTCCGAGCAGCTGTAGCCATCGGTCTGGCGTCAGGAATGACGTCTTTGTCCCCAGGCGTTCGCAAAGAAGGAATACGAACCTGGTGGTAAGAAGCTCACTGTATTTTTTTTAATGCGCCCTACTGACAAATGCAGGTGCATCTACTCCCATGAAATGTAAGTGATACTCCCCTTGAAATGACCAAGGCTGCTAAGAAGTGCAGTGAGATGTGCTGCTCCTCGGGTCGCTTAGACAGCATGAAAGACCTGCAGTATTATCAAGTCCCGCTGCCGAGTCTGAAGGTGAAGCATTAGACACAGCTCAGTGGAAGTGAATATTAATCGTGGTTCCATAGGCCACCCCCGGATATCTTTTTGACCCTGACGCTGAAGACAACCACGTGGCAATGATACCGGCAATGGTCGCCCTCGCACAAATCATGTCCGAGGCTTCACACCTTCTTTATCACTCGCCCAAGCGCTCCATGGGTGAACTATCACAGATTGCCATGGACCTGGACAACAGATTGCTGGCGTGGAAGTCCATCCTCCCTGATTTCCTAGATATCGATGCTGCATCGCTCAATGACACAGAATGGGCCTTCAAGCAGAAACTCGTTCTGAGACTGAGTACGTCCTACTTAACATTGTGCTACTTATTCTGTCTCCTGAGAAGCTAATGTGTCTAGGATACTACAACACACGCATTCTAATTCACCGGCCGTTCCTCGCCGCATCCACATTAAGTACCGAATTCCCAAACATCCTTCGGCACCTCCACACCTGCCTTGATGCCGCGAGAACCAGCATACAGATGCAGTACGAATCTTTCATACACAGAATCTACGTTCGTACCTGGTCAGTCCTTGCCCGCTGCTTCAATCTTCTCGCAGACTCACTGACCCACTTTCTCTTCAAGGTGGTACAACACCTCTTATGCCCTCTACGGCGCGATGATCCTCCTTCACCTTGTTCTCTCCGGCTACCCCAGCATCCGTGACGAGGACCTCCTGACCGACGTAGAGAAAAGTCTCGATATCTTTGAATCCATGAACAACATCGTGGTCGCCCGTCGCTGTGCCGAGATGATCCGCGAAGTCCTCGACGTTGCCCGAGCCTGTGTAGCTCGTCGTCGCACCCACCACACCTTACCATCATCAAAAATACCAGCGCCACCAATCGCTCCTTCTGCTTCACCTGCAACATTCAATCTGAGCAACCACATAGCACATCAAACGCCCGCGAACGCCACCAGCATGGGGCCTTCTAATGTAGACAACGACTTCTTTTTCTCTCTATTCAACCAGGATTCGCAGCCGGATACGCGCGCGGAGATTCTGGCGAATCTGGTGGACCCGACCATCCTCGAGGATTTTGCATTTGGGAATGGGGGGAGTGATTTTTCGTTTTTTCTGGGTTCTTGAGGTACTGCCAGTGGTCTGTTATCAAGATGTATAGACAGACCAACCGTCTGCGCGAAAACAATTGATCTTCTACCTTGTGCATACTCGTACAGACAGAACCATCAAGACCACTTAGAACAAAACCCCACAACGCAACTCCTAAGCTTAAATTATCCAGCTGAGACAGCCGTCCTAGAAACCCAGAACATGAATGAGTGCCAGAATGACACCCAGCCCGGTAATTTAGTTCAAGCTGGATGGCACAAGTCAAGGACTATGCCTGAGGTCTCCACCAGGTATCCATTCCGTAGCTCCATGCGGTAATGTCTCAGATAAGCGTCGGTCAAAGTGAGACAGCCTCCTCATTCAAGCTTTCCGATTGTCTTGTGTCGATCTTATCAATCAGTTGTATATCTGACATCTGGTCCGACCGTGATTGGAGGTCTAGTTCTGTCTAGAAAAGAGAATAAATACCAGGAAGAAAGGGTGCTAGAGGTTTTGCGTTTGTTCACCCGGCAGACTAGCCATCCGTCCCCATCCTGTCCCCTGTTCAACCTCTATCCGCGCTGGCTAGACTCTTGTATATTACCTGGTGTCACCTGATTTGATCCTGATGGGTTGGTGCGAATTGACCTGCAAGTCACCCACTTCTACGACCTACGAATATCCTCGCCAGTCACGCACTCAGTACCCATTTTCCTTCGCCTTCACTAGAGCAAAAGTGAAAGAGTCTTCCAAGCTATACTCTATCAGTTCCAAACAGCACTGTACACCACCACAAAACAATACCAAGTCTAAAAGTCCTTTAGGTGCCGCATTTGTTTTTTAAACCGAGATCCTCCAAACTGATTCAGCTAGACATGTACAATACAATACATTAATGATAACTGGGCCCTAAAAAAAGCCTCCCAATCCATCAGCTCAGGATGAACCTTCCGCAACGCGTCGATATCAGCCTTATAACCCTTCCTCTTGCATCCAATCCATCATCCAGCGAACTTCCGGCACCCCTTACCGCAAGAGCCTTGCCAACCAGAACCAGAAGGTAATCCCTATCCTACGGCGCGTGAACCTCGTGGAAAGCGGCATCAATCGGCTCGAAGGTGGCTTGATCCCCGGCCAAACCGGTAACCTTGTGGTTCCACGCCTCGGGATTCTCAAGTGCCTTGGCGGCGAAGGCTCCAACATCCGAGACGGCAACCCACTGCATGGGTCGTCGTCGTCGTCGTCCGGTTAAGTACAGGTATCCCGGAACCAATCGTCATCAGGGTCTGATCTTGCCGAAGAAAGAATCGGTTTCGTAGGTGTCCATGAACGTGACCCGGTCGCAAGATCGATCACCCCATCGACGAGGAGGCAGCACCAGTCTTTGATATTGTTGAGTCTCGAAGATGCAGCTCAATCTGATACTACTTGTTTCGGAAATGCGGGATGGGGGCGTCGGATTCTGCCAGGAGCGTTTGCCCTTCCCTCCTCGTTGCACGGAGCTATAGACAAAGAAGCTTACTCCGGCCACGGATCGACTCGGCGATCAGCGCGATCCCTTGATCAATTTTTTTTTTTTCTTTTTTTCTCGGGGGAGACACATCCTTACCCATGATCGCCTGGATGGAAGAAGACTTACTTCCCCAGATGGGGACGGGCTCCGGCTACTTCCAGGCGCGCGCGGCTTTGAAGAGCCCTGAGACGTCATTCAGGTCACCCTTGCACAATTCGAACCCGCGGCGAACTTCTCTCGCAGGGCCCTGTGCCCCCGTTTCGATTGGCTGTCTCGTGTGACGCGTAACAGTAGGAAATCATTATGGCTGCTGGCTACTATTACAGCGTCGAGAACGGCTCCGCCTTGCTTGCCCGTGGCTCCGGTAATGAGAACAGCTCGGGACATTTTGGACTGCTTATTTTAAGAAGGCCAAAAAAGAAAAATTATCGCTGGATAAGATTCGCTGGTTGAATAGTTATGGGGATATAAAAGTGGCAAAAACTTTTCTTTAAGCAGTTACGTCCACCGCAGTTGCGAAATACGAATGGCCGGCCCCCCGGGGTTCGTTTCAATCCCGAGATATCAGCGTCTTATTGCAGCTCAGATGACAGTTGTCAAAGCCGTTCGCTGGTCGCCAGTTGGCTGGGTCTGATAGTACGAAGTAGTGGCTAGGCAGCACATCATTATTGTGTCCTAACGGATAATGGAAAGCCACCCTTCTGGACTTTTCTACGATGTAAAAGAGCAGAATCTTGAAAATGATAATCAATTCACGCGATCTATCCGATTGCCACTCCAGTCTATGTTCATCCCAGATCCATCATGGGGGGAAGAGAAACCATATATACACTTATAATGCAAGCGAGATGAAGAAAAGTCATTCACCCGTCCTTCTAGGGGATTATTTCATAAACCAGCAGCATGTTCGTCATCAAGACACAGAGCGGGAGAAAAGAAAAACAACCATGAGGTATCAAAGAGACGAAACCCCCTCCATACCCACTGGAGAATTGGAAATAAAAGTAAACGCCAGAACCAAGAGAGACATGCTAAGTCATCAGGGGCATCACAAAAAGTTGAAAGGCAGACAGAAAAAACACTGCTGATAGAGCCCGGGGTATCGCGAACCTCCTCTGAGAGGGTAATAAGAGACAAAAAAGAAAGGGAAAGAAGAAAGGTAGGGGAAGGAAGTAGAGTAGGTAGGTGGTGACTAGAGAGGTGGGATAGAACAGTCTTGCAGGCTCTCGTCACTGATAGAGGTAGCGGGAGACGCCAACCCCGAGATGACTGAGGAGGTACCACCTAGCCCACTGTCCGGAGCTTCCAGAATAGAGTCCTCCATGGCACCTATGCGGGGAGGATTGACTGTCGTGGGTTTGGCAGCACTGGTCATCAATTCATCGATACCGGGTTTCTCAGGCACACAATGGTCGAGGTTGGTCGCATTGTCCAGACTCTCCAATGCGAACTCCAAGAACTCGGCATCCTTCTTGCTAACGCTCAGCGTCCAGCGATATTCGCAAAGTCGCAAGCGGTAAAATTCGGCTTCTTCTTTCGTTGGGGCGGTGATGCGAAGGAGCACGCCGAAGGAGCCGATCAAAGCAAAGTTGGTCCGTGCTGCCGCTGGCCAGAAAGACCGCAGGTGGGAGGGCCGAAGTCGGTTGACAAAATCCATTGCGGAGATCAGTCGCGTCTTGGCGGCGGAGCGACAGATGTGGGACAGATAGGCGTCGGCGTTCTCCGGTGCCAGCGACCGCACGATACAGCGGTGTAGGGTGATCTCCGTGGCAAAGTACGCCAAATGCAATGCACCGTTGCGAGCGTTGTCCTCCGTGACAACCTCAAACAAATCCCCGCCCGAGTCCATCTTGAGTTCCGTCGGAAGTCGGCCAAACCAGTCTTTCAACCGAATCTGGGCCGGCTTGGCACGTTCCAGAATCATCCGCGTCCGATTGTTGCCAGCAGCCTTGAATTCTTCAATCGCCTGGAGGGTGTAGAAACGATCTAGAATATCCGAGAGAATAGTGGTCAGAGCCACCATGTGACAGAAGGATAGCGGGCCGTGGCCCACGGGCGCATCGTCGTGCTGGGCTGAGGCAGCGAAAGCGTCGGTGAAATCCTGCTCCACCAAGTCCTGGACCATCCAATTGGAGGAAAAGATGTGAGACGGCCGTCCATGCACCAGCGCGGACCACTTATCCTGCATATAGAGGGCCCATGCCAAGCGTTTCCGCAGCCCTTTCTCCCATGTGTCCATCCGCCAATTAGAGCAGTCCTGGTGCAAGCCAAGCTCAAAGCCGGCGGTGACCAGTTGCGCAGTCAACGCCGCTGTGGCCAGGTTCGACCGCTGCATGAGCAGCAGTCCCGCCTGGATGGTAGGTATGGAGGCATAGGGAAGAGATTCAACCAAGAGCCGAAGAGCCGTGCTCTCCAGACGGCCGGCATCTGGACGCCGCATGGTCTGAGATGCAGGACCGACATCGACGAACTTCAATGCGAGAGCATAGACCGCTGAGAGGAGCAGTGGCGTCAGGCCACTTCGAGCGCGGTAGGACTGGCGGAAACTGTCTTCCAGGAGGACGGGGAAGGTGGGATGGATATGTTCGAAGAACTTCTCCACTAGTGTGGAACCATAGGGAGCGACCAGGCTCTCGATGGCATCCAAGGAAGCAGCGTGCGGCGAATCCGCGGGCGATCGAGTGCTGACCACCCGCATGAAGGTGCCGTCGTCACTCAATTTCCGCACACGGGAAGCAGCCACGGAACCTTCTTGGTTGTGATCCAACGGCAAGAACTCGAGGAGGGCGGGCTCTAGGTCAGTGGTGAGGCCGATGTGCTGGGTGGAGTGTTGCCAGTACGTCGACGAGGGGGTGAGCAAGTGAGAAGTCGATTGGTGATGAGGAAGAATATAGTTCAAGGGTGGGCGGACCGGGTCTGATTTGGCCAGCACTGGGGGAAGGGTAGATAACCTGGCGGCGGGGATGTAAATTAGCGGAGTCCGTCCTGTGTCTCAAGGTACGTCCGAGATCGGCCTTGCCCGGTGAAATCATACCTTTTAGGCGATCCCAATTCCTCGGGTTCGGTCTCGTCCAATCTTCGCTTCTTCGACTGCAAGTCCGCCGTACCGGGGTGACTGGCCACAGCCAGAGTGAAGGTGCAATCCTGCCGATGGAAGTCACACGAATAACACTTGTTCACCATTTCGTTCATCGCACATCGGCTCTTTCTGCGCACGCATGCATCACAACTCGACCCATCCCGACCTGGTACGGTGGCACGAGGGAGCGTTCCAACCGAAGACACCGGCGAGTGTGGCGTCGAGAGGAGACCCGGCTGGGGGGTAGGTGGTTGTTGGATCTGGGGGGGCTGTTGGATCCGGGGACGAAGTAGTTGGTGGTCTGAGGAAGGGGAGTGTTGAAAAGAAGCAGATGCATGGCCCGTTGGACCAGTCGTCGAGGACGACTGAAGGGTGATAACAGCAGCCATTCAGGAAGGCAGGAATGGATAGCTCGAACGCCAGTGATAGATAGGGCGATAGGCCGAGCCACGGAGATAGGGTCCGGAGGAATACGGGGAGAAACAGACAGGGGAGGAGCAACAGCAGCAGCAGTGGCAGAGAGATAGGCGATGGCTCATGTGCCAATCCCACGAGTGAACGTTGAAGATAGGCAGTAATAATGAGAATACAAATGCTAATGATGCACGATAGCACCGGGGCGACCCGGAACGTCCGCCGTCACAGGGCTCCGCACTTTCAGGCACGGAGGAACAATCTAGAGGGAGGGCTGACTCGTCGTGTCGGCGACAGCCCTGAAATGTTGGATTGACGTTTGTTCCCCCCGAATTGGGGATTATCTGGGGGAATTGCTGACGCCGTGGTGGTGGTAAGAGGTGAGGGAATCGGTATTCCTTCCTGGCTTTGCCCGGGGGGAGGGAGGGCGGCGGGCGATAGTCGAACGCACCGACCAATAGCTGACGGGGGCTTGACGGGGCCAAGTACGAACCGCAGCGGAGAAGCTTATCAGGGAAAATAACCGGACGACAATGGCAAAGAGATTCAATTGGTGTCGTCCGTGGTGGGGAGGGGGGGGGGGGGGGGGGGGGGGGGGGGGGGGGGAAGGGTGACTGGGGGGACACAACTGATGCTAGTAGATAATCACAGAAGATAGAGAGGGGGGAAGAGAGAGACGAAAGAGAATGAGAGGAAGAAAAGAGAGAGGTTGGAGGCGAAAGCGAAAGAGAGAGAGAGAGAGAGAGAGAGAGTCGAATGGACGAGATCGGGGGGGTGGAGGAGAGTTACAACAGATCAGGCAAGAGCGGAACCGGAGCAGCCCAATCGGGAAGGCACGAAGGAGATGATGATGGAGGATGAAGGATGATCTTGTTGTTGTTTGATAATGATGATGATGGTGATGTTGATGATCGATAATCAGTCATCGACCGATAAAAAAAAGGCAGATGGATAGTAGATGGATAGATAAAGAGATAAACCCTTCCTGTTTGGGGATATTCCAAGAAATAGTAAGTACCCCTCAAGAAAGTATATATAGAATCGAAGATCTCATCCAAGTTTCAACAGGAAATCCGGTTTCTTTGATTTCCAAGTAATCCACACAGCAGAGAGACAGAGAGAGAGGGACGGAAAACAAACTCATCTTCCTTCCCTCCTGCCCTTCCCCATGGATTGATATTATAGCTGCAGTGACTGGATGAGTCTGACTTGCAATCATGGTAGTCATCAGGATCAATAAGAGAATCTCCGAATGAAGCGATCGATCAGCGAGGATGATTCCGAGTCTCTCCATGAAGAGGGTTTCCCACACGTAAGAGAAGTTGTTCGCCGCCAGTTCCTGCGCCCTTCGCGAGCTGGAAGCGATAAGCCGGGGGGGTGTGATTGGATCTGAGGAAGGGAGGGTCTGGGGGGTGGCAGCCGAGGCGGACTTGGTATTACGTACTGGAATCCCCATGGTTTCACGGCTCATCAACCGGATTCATTATTAAGAGAGTAGAGACAACTAAGAGGTAGGAGGTTGCGGTCATCGGGGATGTTGGGAGGTGGTTGACCTGCAAGGCTGCAATGAAGAGAGATTGCGTTAAGCGCTAATTAAGATGCATCTCTGACTTGTGTCTTCCGATTGAAATCAGAGATCTTCCCCGACACTAAGCCGGAATCAAGTATCACACAGGCAGACAGGCAGACAGACAATGCTGGGACGGGAACAGAATGATTGGGACGGAGCTGCGCCTGAGCCTGGAGAATGCCAGGAGAAGCTGAGCCCAGCCCCGGGGGGATGATGGAGGAACCTGGAGCCCGGGGAAGAACATGACTGGTCCGCCATTCGGGAATCTGACATTACTCAGCAGAGCCTCCAATCACATCATCCCGATAACGCTATTCAGACACCAATCAGACAGACCAGGGTTGATCGAAAGTGGCCTAGCGTCGAACCGGCAACGGGGATCGGCCCTGCAGCGGCGGCTTTTTTGCTTCTTCTTCTTCTTCCCCACAGCCTTTCTTTACTTTCGCAGCTGCAGCAGGCCAGACCAACTGCAGTGCAGTTTCATTGTAACAATTCAGTCAGTGACTGATTGGTGGGCAACCAGATCCCTTTGGGCAGCTCTGCCGCCGGTCCTTAATAATGAGAATGACAGCCGGAGGAGAGCTGTCCGAGAACCTGCATAGTAGAATTGAACCTAGAATAGACCACACTGCCTTTCCGGTTCATATTAACTTCCTTTTACCTGTGCACTGCACACAGACACACACACACGCGCGCGCACACACAAACTCCAGTGGCTGATACACTAGGAGCAGGGGCATCTCGCACGGTCGTCATGTCTGACCACCTTATCGCTGGTCTTTGTTCTGGGGAAAGACGAAGAAGCATCAGACAATACGAAGTATAGACTAAGTTAGCACACTAACTACTAACCTAACGAACAAAGGTCAGGCCCGGAGTTGCGACACAGGCCCCCATCCCCATCCGACCGGCTACAGTTCTCATTACTTAATATCCACGAGGATGACTCGATGACTCAATTTCTCGTCCGAGTCATTTTGTCGAGGGGGGCCAGAGTTTCAGTTAACGTTATCAATCGTTTACTACTCCATATTCATGTGCTTAAACTTTCCCATGCCTCGTCCCGATAACACGGCTGTACCATCATCCATCCATCCATCCATCCACCAGGACAGGACAGGGTAGGGCAGTCGATGCTGATGAGCTTGAACCGGATATACCACGGCTCTTATTGGCTTGGTGTCACCCCGGCGAATTTTTTGACTTTCCGAAAGATGCGATGGGCCTATGAATAATTTCCATTGTCAATCCAGTCTCGTCTCCAACCTAGTCTACACAGTGACACACTCAGTCATCCATCAATGACGACATGAGGCTTCGACTGTTCTCTTTCTATGCGCGTGAAGGAAAACAAAGAGAAAACAAAACACCCAAACTCCATGCTAGAATCAACCCTGCAGATGACCATCAATCCGATTCCCCATCCCCATGACCATCACCAATCTGAAAGAATAAAAAATTCACTCCGTGAAATTCCGCAACTTAGTCAACTCATCCAACAGCTCCTGCAAATCCCCATCGGAGATCTTGTGCTGCAAACTAGGGATGAGCGATTTGGCCTCCTCGGCGTTATCGCAGCACAGACTTCCTGCATGCGATTGATTAGCTGCTGTTGCCTACCCAACTAACCCACCAACAAGCTCGGCCCATGCCCCAAATACACCTCCTCCCCCCCCCCAAAAAAACACACCAGAAAGGAAGAGAAAAAACATACCAAGCTGCGACCTCTCAAACATCTCCAGCTCCGTATGCGAGTTCAACAACCGCTCCACCGCCTTGATGTTCTCCTCATCCTTGAACCGCGCAAACACCTCGAGGTAGTCCAGGGTTTTGGTCAGGTTTCTATCGTAAAGGCTCGTTAGCCGTAGTTTCCCCAAGCACCGACGCTGCATTCAGCCCCAAACACCCCTGCCATACTCCTTCCCACAGGTCCTTGTTCTCCCCGGTGATGAAACCCTTCCCACGAGTCCTCCCCAAAGACAACCCCAAGGAAAAGAACGAACTCACTCCGGCTCCTCATACTTCTTCCCCCCGCGCCGCTTATTCTCCAACACCTTATTGATAACCAACCGCGCCTCGGAAAGCGAAAGCGTATGCGTGTTCTGGTCCGCGCCCAGGCGCAGCGTGGACGCAGCCTCGAGCTCGCCTTGCGGGAGGGTGCGTTTGCGGTGCGTGGCGGGGGGGAGTTGGACGCTCATTTTGGATATCCGGGAAAGGTCGCGCGGGAGTTGTCGTGGAGTGTGTGGTCGGTTGTTCTGGGTGCTTGCAAAGAACTTCAGCTGTGGTGAGCTGAGCTGAGCTGAGCTGGGCTGCTGCGTACTGAGCTAGGTGCGGTGGTGGTGAGGGTGCGGGAGGTGGTGTGGCCGTGCCGAGTTTGTTTCTAGATGGGGCGGGCGGAGTTGAGGGCGGAGGCGGTGAGGGGTGGTTTTATGGTCTTTATTGTATCTGCAGCTGGATTTGTTTAACTATAGAGTTAGTTATTCTTGGAAGGTTGTATTGTTGCTCAATCAATCTGAAAGGAGTAAAAAGTGAAAGGAGATGTAGGGTATCATTTTCTAACGTCGTCACTGAGTATCCCAGACTTCTCTCTACATCTACACCACCACCACCGCCCTCTATGTAAGATAAGCTATGCAATAAACCACACACAGGTAATCAACTATAGACACACTCCGCCCATTCAATCACCACGTAATCAAACCTTCTTGAAAGCCACCTCAGCCGGCAGCCGGAAACTGGCGCAGAACATCTGCTTATTCGGGCTCACCAACCGCACATTGTGGATCGCCAGCTCCAACTCTTCCCGCCCAGAACCCCCAACGCGGTCCTCCGTCGTGATCTCGAAGCCAATCCTCTCGGAAATCCGCTGACAAACATCCACATGATCATCATGCTCATCCTCCGAGTGACCCGAGAAGCAATACACATGCACCATGGGCAGCTTCTGCTCCGTGTGCGGCGCGAACCGCGCTTCCTCGCCGGCATACACGCCGATAAACGCATCGAGGAACTCGATAGCGTTGCCGGGCAGGTTCATGACGTAGTGTTGGAAGACGGTGGGCCGGTGGAACACCTCAGGCGGCGGGGCGTTTTCGCGCTGGCTGCGGCGGACCTTGGGCTCGATGGTGACGGACTGGGGCGGTTCGGCGAGCAGACGGCGGGCGGAGCTGCGGATGAAGTCGCGGCCGTCCTGGTTGTGGGGGGTAACAAACTTGTCAACTTTGTTGCGGCGGATGGCGTCCTGCATGACCTCGTAGCCGTGCGGGTTGAGGTCGTTGGCCCAGACGAAGATCTTCTTCTTGCCCGCGGGCACCGCGAAGGGCCCTACGCCCGCCATCACGTCGCACACCATCTCCCCGGCCTGGAACTTGTCCACCAGCCGCCGGTGCTCCGTCTCCAGCCGGCTGTTCCAGTACACCCGCGAGTAGTCGAACCGAAACTCGCAGTTCTGCTCGTGCTGAATCACGTTCAGGTCGTTCACGCCCCCCAGCAGCTCGAACGGGAACGTCCGGAATTGGCTGTGCGAGCCTACGTCGTCGGTCTTGCGGATCACTGTCTTCACGGTCGGGTTCTTGTCCAGTAGGATTTCGGCGATGATGTTCTTGTAGGGGAGGTATTGTTCGCGCAGGTTAAGGTGGGCTGGTTGTTGCAGGTCCACCGGTTAGCTAAGACAATACAGCATGGCTTGGGAGGAATCAATACGTACAGACGTGTCCGACTTGAGTGAAGCCCTGGGGGATCTCTTCGCAGAGCTCTTCAGGGAGAATGCTCGCCATGATATCGGCTACAAACAAATTAGTCCACAGGCACCCCACAAGAAAGATAGGAGAATCGTACCGTAGGTCCAGTAATCATACTCAATCAACAATTCATATGGCCCAACGCTCACCATGCCCTTATCAACAAGCTCGGAGACAGTAGGAGACCATGTCGCCTTATCTAGATCAACCGTCAGATCCCTACTGCACCCACACAGACAAAGAAAGACGAACCATCATGCTTGATATCCTCCCGCAGCAACAAGCACTTCCGCGCGGCATCATCCTGCTTGACCTCCCGGAGGGTAGCCATCCTAGGCAGCGCCAAGATGTCGCGCTTCTTGTTGAGGGCCTGTCGTACAGTCGCGATATCCGAGGTCTTGAAGATCGTGGCAGCGGACAATGGCACCGTCCGCTTGAAGAAGGACCGGTCCAGCACGCGCATGGCGCGGTTCACCGGGGGTCGAAACATAGCGGGGATGTCGCTGCGCGCCGGCTTCGTCTCGGAGTCGGGTTTCTGGGACATCGGAGTCGGCGTCGATGGGTGCTCGGATTTGACGCGCTTCGAAGGTCTGCTGGACATTGATCACCAACCGGATGGACTAACTGTGGGGGTGATCGCGTGGTGGCTGGCTTTCGAGATCATGACTTTTTTTCCCGATGCCAATCGTGGAGTCGAGACTTGTGGAGGCCCGCTTATCGGCACGTGATTGAGATAAGATCTATATAGTCTCACAATCAGATGAACTGGCTGAATGCCCACGTCATTATCAAATCGTGCTGAGCAGAATGAAACATCGATAGAATTGGTAGCATTCACAAGATCAAGTGCTCGTCATCTCAATCATAAATAGCATAGACATATCAGCGTCCGCACGGCAGACTAGGAAACATTAAGACCCATGCCTATCTGTAGCGCAGAATCAAGCAAGCCAAACACCGACTCCAGCCTATTAGAAAAAGTACATCGAACCATATTATCATATATCCCTTGAAAGAAGAAAAGTCCATCTCACCTCCGCCCCTCAAACCTGGCAAGTTGCGCCTTTAATTCCTCAATCTCCTCATCCTTCTTCTTCAACGCCACGCGCGAGATATCCCTACCCCGAATAATCCCCTTCATCTTCAAATCGAACTTATCCAGCAAGCTCGTAAGCTCCTCCTGCGCTTGTGCCGGGAGCGCCACACGATGTCGCTCTAAGACCCGCCCAGCCTGCGCAGCCAGCTGCGACGTCTCCAGCGCCGCATCGGGCCCAGCCAACGCATTCCGAAACCGAGTCGGAGTAGGCGTCATCGAGAACTCCATACCCGATGGCGGCGGCGGCACGGTCGTCGACGACGGAACGCGATCAGTATGCGGGCGCGGCGAGTACAGCGCAAACGAAGCCACCAGGCTATCGCCATTATGATCGTGAAGACCGTCGTCCGCATCCGACCACTTTCTCTTTACCGGTGAAGAAGAGAAGGAGGTAGTCATCGTCGTCGTCGGCTTCGTAACCGGCAACTGAGCGGCAGGGGCCGGTGCCCTCTTGGGAAGCCCGAAATCAGGCTGGCGGATCGGTGGTGGTGGTGGCTTCGTGGTATCCAGCAGTAGCTTGCCCGCTTCAAGGCCGACATCGCTGTCCCATTCGAATTCGTCAATGTCTTCGGACATCATGCGCGCCTTGGCGCTTTGAGGGTACTTCTTGGGGAGCTGGTGTGGTTGCTGTTGCTGTTGCTGCCCGCCGCCCGTTGCGGGGCTCTGGTAATGGGAGGAATGGCGCTGCTCCGTCTGCGGTGTGAGGAGCCCGTGGGATAATCGCGGTTTCTTGGTCGGGGTCTGCGTCTTTTCGGGATCGGGCTCCGATCGAGAACTGGAGAGGACGGTGGCTTTCTCGCGCGGTTCGGCGTCGCTGGCCCAGAGGAAGAAATCGCATTTCTGGTTTTGGCATCGGTAGACTGGAGGGAGACAATAGAGGAGGGGAAAGATTCCGGATTAGTCGTGCAGTCCATCTGGAATCATCGTTCCTCACAATCCTCAACTCTATTCAACACGATAAGATGGACATACAGTATCTACCATGGTTTTGTCCGTGATTCTTTACTTGGAACTTGATCGCTGGCATGCGCTTGGGGCAGTTGCAGTGCCACACCCCGTCGACAAAGAGTCCCTTGAGGCGGATTACCTTGCGAGGCGATGGGGAAATCATGGTTATGATATATGCACAAGGAACGTCTCTGATGCAGAGGTCTAAAACAGGAAGCATGGAGAAAGGAGGAATTAGCCAAGCATGATGCGAAGTTGGCAGTGTGCTATAGTGGCCTGTCAAAGATTGTCGCCATGGAAACTGGACTATGAATTGATCCGCCGGGCCGCCGCCTTCCACTCCCACTTTATTTCCACCGCCAAGAATTTATCTGATGAACTCCTCGTCAACTGAGGTTATTATGGGTCTATACTAAGATTAGTTACTAAAAGCTATGCGAAACACAGTATCAGGCTAGGACTCTCCGCCCATGTATGAGTTCCCCGGCTAAGCCACCAATTATATGAGTTATGCCCGAATGCCAGCAACTAGAACTATATAACGCTGTGTATGAGTGGTCTAGAGACTCTAGGGTATCTCAACAATGCAAGTGCATCTAATCCGCAAGGACCTGTCGCAACATAACACCAAACGACTCAGATAATTTGAGTATCTCTTGTATCTCCGGCTTGACAGGCTCGCCCGCCGTACGCCGGAGCTGGTCTTGTTTCTTGACACGCCGTCTACGCTCGGCCGTGATGGGATCGAGGTCTTCCTCATCATCCAGTTCATCCGACGCATCAGACTCCTCGTCGGAGATGGCAAGATCCTCAAGGTCAGCCTAGAAGAACCGACTGTTAGCAACCACATCACCTGCCACGCACGCAGAGGTGAGAGAATCGACATACCTCATCCAAGCCAAAGTCACTGCTCTTGAAGGTCGTACTGCCGGGAATAATCTCATTGCCCGTTCCTTCAGCTGCCATCTTCTGCCTCGTCTTGTTAAGATGCCACTGCTTCCGGTCGGCATGCCATTTAATCAGAGCGTTAATCTCTTCCAAGGCCTTGTCTTTGTCGATCTGACCTACATCCTTCGCGCCGGTGAGCAAGGCATTCATGTCCAGCTTGCCGCCACGTGGTCCCTTGCGCAAGAATTCGAGAATGTCTTCGATCCATGCCATCAAGGACCCAAACAAGCCATTGTCATGCAAATGAACCTCGTGCACAAACTTGTAGAAGCTGCTTTGGTGACGCTCACACAGGTCGATAAAGGACTGGACAGTCTGGTTCGGGTCCGCAGACACGTCCTGCCGATGGCATTTCTCAATTACGGCGATCGCGTCGTCGGCGAAGCGGGCAAAATCGGTGATGCTGTTATAGACATTGGCCGATTTGTAAACCCGTACGAGTGGCTCGTAGAAAATAGTGAAGAGGTCGCGGAAGAGCTGCAGAGTGACCGGCTCCTCCACGATGCTAAGCATCATCGTCTTGTCTCGCTGGCGAGTGTACAGTTTGAGCAGCTGCTTCAGATTGGCGAACCAATGAGCGCCTTCTCGCATTTCGGCATCAATGCTTTCAACAGCCTGGTTCCAGGCGACGTAAGCATTGAACACTTTGCCAAACTGGTCTGGGGTCAATTCAGGCGAAAGAAATTCCGTCTTCAAGATTGCCACGATGATGTCGACATCTTCAGCGATAGCTTCGGCGCGAATCTCGTTCTTTAGATCTTCGTCAGCATCGGTAAACGCCTTCAGCTTTTGACAGAGGATGGGATCCTCAATCGTCGCGGCCAGCGCATCGATTGACTTCTGGAAAGCTCTGATTCCATCGTTCAAGGTCATAGAGAATATACGCTGCAGGAGTGACCGGGAGCCGAATGGTTGGGCCAAGAAGAGGTCCAATACTCCTGACATGACCGCTGCCGGGTTAGCAATCCGGATCACATTTTTCAGAAGACTGTATGGAACAAGAGAGTGAATTCTTTTAGCCTGTGCAAACAACTCGGGGGAATTGTCCTCGGCTAAGAAAAGGTGGTAGAGTGTCGCGGCAACCTCAATTCGCAACCATTCGGCAAATTTCTGGTATTGAGGACTCAGGTCTTCCACTGTAGGCTTCTCTTTGATTTCGGCAAACAGTTTCGTCAAACCATCTAGATCGAGAAAGTGAATCAGTAAAAAATCAGTGCAGCGATATACAGACTCAACTTACTGCTCTCCACGATATCTCGGCGGAAATTCTCCATGTAGGCATCCAATTCAGCCGCCCGCGCTCTAGCGATCTCATAAAATCGCTTCTGCTCCTCGATCCGCACAGAGTCTACTTCCTTGCGTTTTTGCATGTCCATTTTCTCCTCTTCGTTAAGAGTGATAGGGTTCGTGGTCAGAAAATCTTCGAGAGCTTTTGTTTCCGCTACCCGCTTGTTTTGCAGCAAAGTTCGGAGAAACGCCCGCAGAGAGACTCGCTGTTCCTCTCGATAGAGCACCGTCTCCCGGTGCGCATCACTGGAAGCTCTAGGTGATTTGAGCGACCGCATGGATGATCGTGATAGTGAACGAGGATGGTGGTTCCCGGGGGTTAGGTTACGAGATGAAACGCTGTCGTCTATGGCGCTCGTGTCCTGGGTGGAAACAGACGAAATCGATGAAGCTTCGTCGTCTGCGGAGCCAAATATGCTGGACGTCAATGAAGACTTATTCTTGCGTGGCAGCGGCGGTAGCGGCTTTCCAGGGAACTCCGTGCGTAGCCGTTTGTGCAGCCTGGAGAAATCGCCGTACCGACGGGCCACGAAGGTATCTTTCTTTCCATCTCGGCGCACACGAATAATGAATTCCTAACAGGCACGTTAACGATGGTCGTCAAATAAGGTGAGAGCAATCCCCGTTGGACATACTGCATGTTGGTGATATCTCACAGTCCGCCTGACCGATGTCACACGGACCGCAGCCACATTGATGTCCCAGCCATGGATCGCGTTTCCTTCGGGCATATTGACCAACAAGCCCTTTTCGTTGGCGCCTCGATCAACGACCTCCATCTCGGAAAACTGAATACGTTCTTCATAGCCCGATGCAGTAGGGATTCCAGAGACCATCATTAGCTCGACTAGCTTCTCGCATTTGCGCGCCAGCTTTCGTCGTTTTGTCTCCTCCAAGCGATCCTCCGATGAGGACACATGTTTCTTTGCGAATGACTCCAGAAACTACAGTTTCGCCGATTAGTGCTTTATACGATAGATGCACTGAATGGCGAAGGAGACACGCACCATTTGGAGCTTATCTTGCCAGAATTCCTTCTCGCGGGCCTTATCCAGGAATGGGAAGTTGCGCACATGATGCACGAAAATATATCGGAGGATTGGGAGCTCAGAATCGACCGGGGCAACTTCACCGAATTCAGACTTGAAAGGAGCACCGAACCGTTGCAAGGCTGTAGGAGAGTTTAATTCGGCGATTTCGCTCTGGACTTGTCGGGCGATGAGTTCGCGCTTGAGATCTGCAACCGTCAGCGGTCGTTTGCAAGGAGTGATGCAGCGGGGACTGACAATGCTCCTGCTTTCCTGTCAAGATCTGGCTTGTGGATGTGGTGGTAGTGGTGGATTGGGAGTCGGTCGGTGGTTGTTGGCCGACCGAGTGAGTTCCGTTGAGAAGAGGGGGGGCGGAGGGGTTCGTTGCGGCCATCGTCAGTGATAGTCCAGGTCCAATCGCCCAGTTTCCACGAGAATTACTGTCCGCAGAAAAGGATCATAGGCCGACTTGATATGGTAAGGAGATCCCGATCGCGATGCAAGTTGGGAAATAACTTCGAAATCTTCTAGAAGGTGGATAACAGAGAGGAAAGCGTCTGCCTAACTGCCAAGGTTCCGAGGGGTGGTGACGTCTGCTGAGGGCCGATGCTGAGGCGGTGCGAGACTGGAAAAGGAGCTTCTATTATGGTCGCCTAGGCTGTGCGATAGCAGATTCAAGGGTATCAGGATAGAGGAAGAAAACCGTGGACGTAAAATATGGTCGAAAAAAAAGGGGGAAGGTTAGAGTCAGGAGAGAGAACGAGCGAAGGATGCAGGAGTGAGAGAGTTGAGGAGAGGCCGATTGATTGATTGACTGAGAGCGGAGGGAAATCGGGCGGAGGAGAAAATAATTACCGCCGATCAGCTGCACGCGATGACACCACAAACTTCCCCCCTCAATTGGCTTGGATTGCGTCCGATGCAGTCAGAGTGGAACAAAAGCCACTGCTTGCTGGTCCGGTTGACGCGTCCAAGACCTCAAGACTCAGCCCTGTGGCCCCGCCATTCAGTTAGTTAGCTCAGTGGACTGACTCCACGCCGATTCTATTCTATGAGGCAATGAGATCATTTCTCCCACTTCATGAAGCAGACCACCATGGCTTTCATTCTCCACAATGCACTTGTTCTCTTTCAGTTTGAATGATCGAACCTGCTAAGATCTCTGAAGATAAGCTTGCTTTTGTCCTAGCCTCTATTTTACCATGACATAAGCCATCAGCCACCAAGCCTGAGACCTATATTTAGATTGCCGCCAGGAGCCAACTTTGATTTCATCTCTCCGTCACGTCGGAAGTCTTCAGCTGGCTACCCTACAAAAACCCCACGATGGATCTCTGCCTATAATGGACTAAGGATTTCGAAAGGATTTTTGGGTCCGGTGATTATTGTTGAACTCCATAGTGGTGTCTACAATTTCATTCTTGATCTCCTATCAGGTGACATGATGGAAGAAGACTCGCTTACCACTCAACTTCGATATGCCTTGATCTAGACCTTCCGGCGCTTTTTTGGCGCCTCATAAATATTTTCGTTGGGCATTCGGATATATATTTTCCCTATCATGACTGGTCATTCCCATCTTCGTGCAGTGCTGGTGGCATGGATTGACGTGTGCCTCCTCATAGCCACGTTCACAGCCAGAAATCAGTTCACAAGGTTGCCATGAACTCATGGATAGCATTCTTCGACCAACGCAAAGACGCTGTTACGGTCACTGCGCAAGTACGACGGTTGCAACACAAGGCTCGGTCCATTGAACACCATTGTGATGCATCTACACGGAAACCACTGGCGTTACGGCGGTTCGGTAGGACATCATTCTGAAACGTCTACACGGAACCAATCCATATTCCGGCGGAATGGAGTCACTTTGGCATCATGGTTGACTCAACTTGGGGGGTGTGTAAAGCGGGACCCTCCAAAGCTCCCCTCTGGCTTTATTCCTCCTACAAGTACCTTTTTTCTCTCCAACTGAGCATCCGAGCCAAACCATCATTCACTTAAGATCGAATTCTCAAGATCAAACTCTCAAGATCAAACTCTCAAGATCAAACTCCCAAGATCAAACTCCCAAGATCAAACTCCCAAGATCAAACTCTCAACATCAAACTCTCAATATCAAACTCTCAAGATCAAACTCTCAAGATCAAACTCTCAAGATCAATCTCAAGATCAATCTCTCAAGCTCGAACATCAAGCTCAGATTCTCCAATACCTCTACATTCTTTATATCTCATCCACCTCAGACCCCCAAGCTTGAAGCATACTCCATCTCAGCGCTTCAGCCCTTGAATTCTCATCCTCATTCTTTACTCAACCAAATCAACAATCCTTCACTATTGGTCCTCATACGACCATTTCCTCGAGCTTCCATCAAGCGAGTGTCGAAGCCAAAATCCACCGAAGCATTCTAGCAGAAGCCCGCTACCGAGCGAAGAGCTTCAGCCACCAACTTCCTTCCCATCCTCATTCTCCACTCAACCGAATCAACAATCACAAACCATCAAAGATGTTCTTCCTCACGCGACGAGTTCCTCGCGCTCCCGCCGAGCCAGCCAAGGTCGAGCACGATCCCACCTTCGGCAACGCCATCCTACAAGCGTACTACGCAGGCAAGAAATGGCAATGCATGTGCGGAGCCGCCAACGATGAGCACCTCCGCAAGCATCTCAACGAACCGTATCCCGCCCAAGAAGATACGGAATACCGATCCGATGACATCGAATACGCCGTCAACTTCCTCGAGCACATCAGCCTCTGCGAAGATTGCCTCCGCAACGAGCCTGAGCAGTGGAGGCTCCATACGCTCGCCCACGGAACCGTCAAGCGATATCGAGACTTCTACCTGTCCTTGTACCAGCTTCTCTTCAGCAAAGGGTGCAAGGAGACCTTCGAGGTCGAGGAGGACTTTGCATGTGAACATGACGAACGAGTCGAAGCCGACCATTGGTGCCTGTTCGCCATGATTCAGGTGGAGCGCATCATCACAAGTGTCAGCCGGATCGTGGCGATCGTGGGTTCGGTGGAGCCGCACATGGATCATGATTCTTGGTATATCGTCTTGAATCTGGCTGAACGGCTCATGGAGGCAACAAACAAGTTGCAGTATCGCGTCAAGCATATCTGCCGGACTTAAGGAGTTGGGGCTTTTGAAAAGGGAATGTCTCATTGGAGACGGGTGAAGGAGCGACGACTTGAACAACACACGGTTTGAACGAGACCACGACGACATGAACACGACACCACGATCGCATGAACGAGATACGACATGAACATGGGACAACCCCACGAGGGACAACCCGCACGAGAAACAAATCGAAGGAGATGACTCGGATGGGAGATGATTATATAGATGACGCCTTGACTGTCACGTCAAGCGAACAATGCCTGGAAGGTGATCATGTGTATCGCAACAATGTACCAAGCCAATGAGCTTGCAGAACCCTTCCAGAGGCAAATGAGAGTGTACGAGAAGACTTTTGTATCAAGAGCATGCATGTTGGATGAGGCTTTGTATCGGCTTGGGCTCACTTTTGCTCTGATGATCTGCTGCATGTATTGGTGTGAACGTTTGTAAAGCAACCAACCTGGATTGGTCCAATCTCTCATTCCAACCGGGTGTTGCTCAGTGATGACACTTTGGACAAATTTTTCAACTGGCTTCTCTTATTGTAAGATGTAGTAGTTGTAGATTAGAGATGTTCTATACAAGTACAACCATTCTCTTGAAGCACGCACCATAGCTTCAACAGCTCTACACGGTACCTGAGGAGGACTGTTCACCATACAATATCATCTCCACAATAACAAAGAGCTGCAGCAATTCCAACCATGATCCTCATCAACCATGTCGCCGAATAAATTCCAAGTTGCCCCTCCCCTTCCACCCCCCAACTAAACACAATCCGCACGCACGCCCAACCAAATGAGAATCTAACTGGAAGCTACAGACACCGATTCAAATCAGGTAAAACCCACCTAACCATCCACACCGACCGTAGAACCTCATCCGCCGTAGGCCGTTCCTTAGGCCGGAACGCCAACATCCGCCGCATCAGATCCAAAATCGCAGCCGTCTCCTCCATACCAAACTCACCCATCTGACGCTTCCGCCGATACTTCTGCACATCCTCCTCAAACGCCCGCTCAAGCGGCGGCCACACCTCTCGCCCAGCCTTAGGCCGCCCACTATCCTCATCGAAGAACCGCCCCCGCTCGTCCCAGCGCTCCCACCATTTCGCAGGCATAGGCCCTAGCACATCAACCTGCGGACATACAACCTCATCCGCCGTAGCAAACTCGCTACTAAATACGGCTCTCATGCCCAGAATCTCCCAGATGGCAGTCCCCAAGCTCCAAATATCCGCCGCGTAAGATAAGGGAGCGGATGGCTCGAACCGGGCCTCAGGAGGCCGACTCGCAAGCGGCGTGTGGCAGTCCTCGCCCAGGCGAGTTTCCTTGGCTGGAGCGAAGGCCTCACCGAAGTCACTTAAAAGGACGTGCGCATCAGTCAGTACGAATTCTTCGGCCTTCTTGCCGAGATAAAGCGGCAACACGGCTTTGGGTGGGATGTTGGGCGGAAGGGGCGTCCCGTCGCGATGGGTGATGGGCTCTGTCTCTGGCTCTCCGTATCTCTCGTAGAACTGGTCGATAGTGAGATGATCGAAGCTGGATGGAAGCTCGAGTAGGATGTTGCGGAGGTGGATATCTGAATTCAAAAGAGTACTGAGACTTAGCTCGAATATTCAAGACAGGCGGTAATGACAATCTCACCTCCATGAGCGTAGCCTCGTGAATGCATGTACGCAATCGCTATCGTGAGGCACCCTGCTAGCGCGCGCGCCACGTCGAGGGGAAATAGCCGACTGAAGGACACTTCTCTGAGGTTGCAGCGTGCGGGCGCCGTTGTATAGCACCGGTGGGTTCCATTGGGGCCGGTGAGCTCGAATTCGTCGAGGAGCTGGGGGACTGATTTATGGCCTGGGTGCGGTGGTGCTGGTGCTGGTGCTGGCGCTGAGAGAGCACGGAGGACATGGGGTTCGTGTGAGATTGAATCTGCTATTCCGACTTTCAGCGCAACGTAGCGCCCCAGTTGGGTGTCGTGTGCAAGCCAGACAGTGGAGTAGCCGCCGAAGCCTAGCTTGTCCACGATCTTGTACCTGTTGTGGAGGAGGTCGCCGACCATGATCGGGTGGTAGCCCCCGGGTGTGTATCTTTCCAGTGTCTCGGCGCCGTCGATCCAGTTGTATTCGAAGTTACAAGGAGCAGATTGTGGTGTTGTCGTTGAAGAGTACGAAGAGATAAGACTCAGTGTGATAAGAGAGCGTGCGGGTTTCCAAGGACGATAGCGCAAGGAAGTGGTCAGTAGACGATACAGGCTCGGTGGTGAACCAAGAGAGATGTTCCTTGAGCAGCGTGTCATTTTGCCAATTCCTCGTGAGGAACATTGCATTGGGTAAATATTGCGGTCGTGATTTGGCAGTTGTCTAGTGATGGGTTAAAGTTGGGGATGCATCTATACAAGTACTATTTGGGCTGAGTCACTGGGCCTGTGTTGCCATTTGAGGCAAGCTCATGTGATCTGCCGCCCCTCGGGCTGCTGCAGTACCACAGGGATTTCTACATTGAAGGGGTGCGAAGTAATACCGAAGAGCTAAAGCATACACTCACTTGAACTATAGTATTGGCTCTTCAATTGACCTTGTATGGTGAGAATCTGGCCTCCGCTATTAAATCCAGGTAGATGTGCCTCTTAGCAGGCGAGTAGCAATATAAGAGACCGGTCTCTAGAGAACGCGTCACAACTCCATTGAAGTTAATCTATCTAACCTGTTCCAATACACAGATACCATTCCATCCTCTATCTAAAGTTCTGTCGAAAACGCCAGCCAACCGGGTACTGCCTCTCATTCATACACCTCGATTCATGCAGACGGCACATGAGAAATCACTCTTGGACTGCAGCCGTCGTAGTCAATCAAAAACCGTTGCGGGCACCGCAATTCGTAGACGGTGAGTTTAGCATTCAAGCCCGGAAGGGGAAGGCATTGGGGACGGCCGAAGCAGAAGAGCTTGAAGAGGCTGCCGGGTCCTCGGAGGAGCCTGGGTAAGGAACGAAAAGAGTGTTGGTGGGCTGAGGAGCGGCACCAGAAGACTTAGGAACGAGCTCGGTCGTGTTCAGAGCAGACTTGGAAGAGTCGACGAGGGGCTCGACGACACCACTGCTGGAAGGCTGCTGGGGGCCGCCGGTGGCCTTGGGGAGGCTGCTGCTGGGTAGGGTGGTGTTGAGGGAGGCCTCAGGTTCCTTGCAATCACGCTTAGAGATACCCAGATCGGCAAGGATGCCCGAAACTGCAGTAGGGATGGGGAGATTAGAGGGGAGAATGCCCGTGGGTATCAGCGACTCCAAGTCCTGGCGCTTCTTCAGAGGCAGGCTTGAAGGCAGAGTAATACCCAGTTCAGACAAGATGTCAGTGACTCCAGATGGGAGTGCGATACCCGAAGGAAGGATACTCGACAGGTCTTGGCGCTTCTTGACGGGCAGGCTTGAGGGAATAGTGATTCCGAGCTCGGACAGGATATCGGTCACCCCTGTGGGAATAGGAAGCCCAGAGGGAAGGGTACCGGATGGAAGAAATGATTCGAGTTCCTGACGCATCTTCAAGGGCAAGCCCGAAGGGAGGGTGATACCCAGATCAGACAGAATGCTGGACACTCCGGATGGGATCGGGATTCCGGAGGGAAGAAGGTTCGATAGTTCCTGGCGCTTCTTCAGAGGGATATCTGAAGGGAGGGTGATGCCCAGTTGGGACAGAATATCGGTCAAGCCAGAGGGAAGGGGAAGGCTTGAGGGAAGAAGATCCCTCGAGTCCTGGCGCTTCTCGAAAGGCAAGCCCGACGGGACGGTCAGGGTAGGCAACTCGGAGCCCGCTCCCTGGGAAGGGAGTGGGAGCCCGGTGGGAATGAGCCCAGAGGGCACAAGTCCGGTCGTAATAGGAAAAGGCAGGTCGGAGAGATCCTGTCTCTTCTTATTGACATTGGCGGGTAGAGCCAGGGCGCAGCCCACAAGGCACAGAGGAGTGATGTTCTGAAGCTTCATCTTGAAGGACTGGTTTGAAATGAAACGAGGATGTAGAGTAGAAGCAAAGTATCGAACAGAAAAAGAGAAGTGTGAAGGAATACCGGATTCGATCGAGAGAACACTGAAGACTGACAGCAAAAGACATATCCAGAGGGGATCTCATGTAGCCTTTAAAGATTTGTGTAGAACTAATTGCTGCTCTGAAGTCGAAGGATCAACGAGCAATGATACCTCAACTGGAATCTATGGACCAAGACAGAAATCGGCAAGCGGCTGCCATATCGCCTCCATGCATATGCCGACATCGCTCAGATGGTAACCAAGGGAAGTTTGAGTGGGCAGGCCTCGAGCCGCAGCTGAGCATTGATCTCAAAGCACTGAAGAAGCAACTCATCTCAGCCTGGCAGAACCCTGACGGCAAAGCGATCCCACAAGGCCGAAACAGTGGTGAGAACGGCCTCATCCCGGCAGGTCTGAAGCTCGAATGACGTGACAGGTTGTAAGACCCAAAAACGAGGATTTGTTCTGAGCACGCAAGGACGGAGGTAGAGAACCCCTGCGCAGACGTTACCGTACTACCATCCAATTGCAAACCAAGGTCAGACTGCCGACAGTACCTGGATGAGCACAGGTGCATCAGATAGAGGAGTCGAACGAACAGGAACTGGGGGATTTGCCCGACCGGGATGGGTCCACCCCGAATTCTCCCCCATTTAGTCCTTGGATTAGAGTGAGAGCTGCAATGGTTGTCGGTGGAGCTCCGAATCGGAGACAGATTGCCGCCGACCAATCGTGTTGAAAGGTCGTAACATCCTCCTGATCGCCGTTACAATTATCCACGGATATTTGCCTTGCACCGGGAGATGCAGAGCCCTGCACGACGCGTCCTCCGTTTCCCAAGAATCACTCCCTTGTATCGTGTCGGTCAAACCCAGGAATAAATCGGGCAACCAGGATCAGGGAGTCCTGGAATGAGAAGATCAATATTGATCAAGTAACTATTAGTGCAGACTCATGTTCTAGGGCAATATCATCGACCCTAAAATGACGCAGGATCAGACTGAGGTTAACGGACCGTTGTCTGTCAGTCCTCATGGCGTTTGAGGCGAACGGAGTAGATAGGCCAGTAATGGCAGTGGATACAGATCCCTAGCCACAGGAGATCGAGTCCCTGTGCTGGATTTAGCACACGGTGGAGAGAACTATGGGGGAATCAGGAACGATGATCCCTGGCTGAGTTCTTGATCGAGATTCTCAAAAAAAAGAATGAGTGTTGTGGATTCTCGACCCAAGGTGGAGGGGGAGAGCCCCGAAACGGAGAGAGAGAGGGAGAGAGAGAGAGGCGGTGGAAATGCGAGCCGATGGATGCCTTATCACCTAAGGCAGGACTTATCTAGTCCCTGTCCACGCCTTAGTCTTTGACAATCTTTCACCTTTCATCCTCCATCCTCCATCCTCCATCCTCCATCTCTCCACTTCCTTTTACAAACTCCACTTCACCTAAGTGGCAACTATTTTAACGGGACATGGTTCACTTGTGGGGATACTTTCCTTTGCCAGCAATACATCCTTCACACTTCACATTGATCTCTTATCCTCGGTTATCTGCCTGCCGCCGTAGCCGATAGGACTTGAGAATCAACTGCATCAGCTCGGGGCAGATCGGTCCCCCTATACATCAGATCAGGCTCATGAAACTGTTTCGCGATAAGTATACTAAGCACGCGTGTTTATGACTGACTAAGGAAACGTTCTAGATGAAGCAAAGAACCTTCTGTATCACGCTAGTGGCCAGCAACGGGGCCAGTCTACACTGTCAGGCTACGAATAATTGATTGGAGAAGGTACAATCAGCCCCGATCGTTTTGACTGTGGAACCAGCGTGTCATCTGTCAACAAGCGCCTTGGTCAACCATGCGTGCTCAAGCTTTTCTTGGACCAAGTTGTTCAGACTCCCTGGACCGTCGGCAATGCACCGAGTCCAATTTCTTGGCTTTGGAGGGTTCGGATCTCAAACTTTCCAGGAGTTTCGTACCGTTACAGGTAGCGATCACCCTTCATGTTCAGCTGGAACAAACCTGAACGGCTGGTTCGATGACTATCTCTTCGCAATGAGTTGAGCCTCACTGTAGCCGAATCTCGTTAGAATGTTCAATTTCGAATGAGAACTAATCGATCCTTCAAAGAGTGCCGCGAGGGCCGCCAATCTCGTGATGAAGGGAAGTTGCTTGATTCGACACGGTGCAAACCCAATGAGTTATACTTCCTTCATCTAATGGCATACGGACCTGAATGATCCATGCTCATACACATGAGTCAACTGCACAAGAAAATTAGGTCATTAATGCTACCTGGGACGGGAAACCCCTCCTACATCTGTCTGCATGGGCTCATTGATGAGGCCATATGTCACTCAAAAGCTGTTCCCTATGTATCACGCCGTTTTCGTCAATCAAATTTCCTTTTTTTCTTCTCAATGCGCGAAGATTATCATTCAATGACATCAACAGACCTGAGTTACGCATATCTGAAACAACAAGAACCGTTGTCAGTGTTTCCGGGTGTCGCCTCCGTGTCGCAGCCTTGACAGCCTCGTGTCACAGATACATCAATCCTATCATGCTGATAACGCTAACAAAGTCTTTGAGTAATTTGCTGCCCTACAGAATGTGGAAGTCGATAGCAGTTGCTAGTACAGCAGACAGGGCAAGGTGGTCTTTGCCTTGGTCGGTCTCGGCTTGGACCGGAGCGGAGTCGGCTACCTTCCAATCACGCTACTTTCGTCTACATACAAAGTTTCCACACGTGACCAAACTCGGGTACTGGCGAATCAGACGGGAGTAGAGATAAGGAAAACCGAGATTGAATGTTATCTCGTCCGACAGACGCCACCGTGGGTATGTCTCACTTACGATAAGCACCACTTGAGAAGAGAAAAACGAGCGGAGAATCTCGAGGGGTATCTCAAACTCGATTTGAGGATCCAGGGCCTGACAATGTGTCAGCCACGTCGGTTTCGCTTATCAGTGGTCCACGCCGATACCATCCTGCGCCAATATTAGCCACAGCCCATCTCTTGTTTTCACACAGCCATAAAGAAGCCATTGACCAGTGCTGACTCCGGCCCAAAGGCTCCTTTTGCTCTACTTACAATTCGTAGACATTTGTGGCCTGCGGATCGCGTTTAGACATAATAATGCCGCAAATCAAAAGTGTTGCTATTATAGGTACGGGGCCAGCTGGAGCTATTGCTGTCGATGCTCTAGCGCAGGAGAAAGCTTTTGATCGAATCCGCGTTTTCGAGCGACAGGAAAAGGCAGGCGGTTGCTGGTATGCTCAATTCACCTTCCCACAATCATAGGAAGCCGCTGGTTGCATCCGCTGGGAACACTGACACCAGCAACAGGGTGGCACGTCCACAGGAGAAAGCCGTGCCTCTTGATGTCGAGAAACTCTCAGCGAGAATAGCCGACGCTCCGCTTCCAATCCCTGCAAATTTGCCGCAGTATACACCGGCATCGTCCCAACACCGTTTTACTGACTCTCATGTGTATCCTAATTTGCACACCAATGTGGACGCCGCTACTATGGGGTACTCCCAAGAGCCAATTCCAGTCGTTCGCTCTGAATGGTCACTTGGACTGCACGGGCCCGACACACCGTTCCGCCACCACGCTGTCATTCGACAGTACGTCGAGGATCTTCTCAATCGGAACGGCTACCAAGATCTGGTTGAATACAACACTACTCTAGAATGTGCTGTGAAAGACCCTCAAACGGACAAATGGGTTCTGACCCTCCGACGAGCGGGCAAGCCTGGCGGGTATGACTATTGGTGGAGCGAAGTCTTTGACGCTCTGGTCGTTGCGTCGGGGCATTTCGCGGTGCCTTATGTACCGGCCATTCCAGGCCTGAAGGAGTTTGTAGAGAAGTACCCAGAGCATGTTCTGCACACAAAACAATACCGTGGCCCAGAACGTTATCGAGGCAAGGTGGGGTTTCCCCATCACAGGATGTAGAGCATTGCTGATTATGACGCACAGAGAGTTGTTACTGTTGGAGCCTCGGTGTCTGCGGCAGACACCGCTGTCAGTTTGATCGGTTCTGCTCAGTCACCCATCTACGCCGTGGTCCGCGGCAAATACAACCCCTATTTTGGAGACGAAGCATTCAAACATCCTCAAATCGAGCGTCGGCCACCGATTGCGCGTGTTTCGTGCGAGAATGGAGATCGAACCGTGTATTTTGAGGACGGTACCTCCGTCTCCGGTGTCGATTATATTATCTTTGGCACAGGTTTTACCTGGACGCTGCCATTCTTACCCAGCATCCCGACGAGAAACAATCGCGTTCCTGATGTGTACCTACATGTCTTCCATCGGCAGGATCCGACATTAATGTTTATAGGAGGAGTATGTATCCCTTCATCTCTCTGCGAATACTACTGACAGTCGTAGGTTGGCGCTGGATTGACTTTCAAGATATTTGAGTGGCAAGCCGTGGCAGCAGCTCGGGTGCTGGCAGGCAGGGCTAAACTACCCTCCTTCGAGGAGCGACAGAAATGGGAGCAAGATCGGATTGCTAAGAAGGGCGACGGCTCGGGCTTCTTGATGGTGAATGACGGTTTCGAGGAATACTTCGAGCAGCTCCGCAAGCTCGCTGGCGAGCCCAAGGAAGGTGAACCTGGGCGTAGATTGCCTCCGTTTGAGCAGTCTTGGGTGGAAATGTTTAATGCAGGGCATGAGCGCCGGAAAGAGATGTGGAAAAAAGCCAATGCGACTGCAGCAGGGAGTAAGCTGTAGGCCGACGAATTAGTGGAAATCTGCAGGCGGTCCAACACCTTGGTAGCGGATAATATCAAGTCTCATCATTGGGGTTGATTGCCACCAAATTGCGACTGCGGAGCTCTCGTCAGAATCCGGCAAAAAGCAAGCAGGTTAACACATTTAGCACCGCGCCAACTGCGCCGATCTGCACGCCAAATATCCGGAGCTGCAGCCAATGCACTTCTCACTTATAACTCCTCCAATGACACCGTTCAACCCCTCTCGGTCCTCTATTTCAACCTGCAGATAATCTAGTTTTCCCGCAGGATCGAATGGTCCGATCCCCGCAGATGCTACAGGATGATGATGTCAACGCATCACGGCTGAATTGTATATTAATTGACCCTTCCCCTCTTTTTGCCTTCGGAAGATTCTGGTCATTGTCTCTGTGGCAGCAAATGATGCGTACGCCAGCGGCTATCAATCTGTTGGCGCTGCCTTTGGTGGCAGCCAAATCCCTCTGGTCCGACTCTCCGGGAAACCTCAGTAGTATCATCACCACTGCGTTTCCCTTGGGTAATGGACGCTTGGGGGGTATGTTTCATCCATCTGTACGAGTAGTCTCGGAGCTGATCCTGCAATAGCCATGCCCATCGGGCTGCCAGGCAAGGAAAATGTCAATTTAAATGTGGATTCGTTGTGGCGCGGAGGGCCTTTCGAGAATCCCGTGCGTGATCCAATCCATAGCGCAGGGAGATTCGATCTGGATGGTTACTCTAACTGAGATCTCAATCAGGCATATACTGGTGGCAATCCGAACGTCTCCAAGGCGGACGCCCTGCCCGGAATCAGGGAATGGATCTTTCAGAACGGAACCGGCAATGTGACTGCTCTCTACGGAGAGTTTCCCGATTATGGCTCCTATCAGGTCCTGGGAAACTTGACTATCGATCTGGGTGATGTGGGAACCGTATCCAACTATCGACGCAGCCTCGATCTGCAATCCGGCATCTACGCGGATCAGTTCAGATCTGGTAATGTCGACATCGAAAGGCAAGCACTGGCACATGCATGGTCGGATGAATTACTGACAAGAACGTACAGGGAGGCATTCTGTTCGTATCCGGATCAAGTCTGTGTTTACCGGCTTTCCTCAAATAGAACTCTACCGGCAATCACTGTTGGACTGGAGAACCAACTCACGTCTCCGACTCCCAACGTCACCTGTCATGGAAACAGTATCAGTCTGTACGGAGTCACCGCACCTACCATCGGCATGATATACAATGCCCGCGTGACCGTGGTTGCACCGGGGCTGAAGACCTCGAGCGATCACTGCTCACGGATCAACGCCACTGTCACTGTCCCCAAGGGCCAGCGCGAAGTCTATCTCGTCTTTGCCGCCGGGACCAACTACGATGCGTCGAAGGGTAATGCGGCTGCAGGATTCTCATTCCGCGGGAAAGACCCTTACGGTCAGGTACTGCAGACGGCTTCCAGCGCGGCGAAGAAGTCTTATTTTACACTGAGATCATCGCACGTCAAAGACTTCCGAGCACTCTCAGGTACATTCGAACTCTCCCTGCCGGACCCGAACAACTCTTCCAACAAGCCGACCACCGAGCTGATCGACTCGTACACTTTGCCTGGAGACCCATTCGTCGAGAACCTTCTGTTCGATTACGGTCGATACCTGTTCATCTCCTCCTCGCGGCCGGGCAGCCTGCCGCCCAACCTGCAGGGTCTGTGGACCGAGTCATACTCTCCCGCATGGAGCGGCGACTACCACGCCAACATCAACCTGCAGATGGCGCACTGGGCGGTCGAGCAGACGGGTCTCGGGGCCCTGACAGAGCCGTTATGGTCATACATCACGGAGACCTGGATGCCACGCGGCGCGGAGACGGCCGGGCTGTTATACGGGGCAAAGGAGGGATGGGTAACCCATGACGAAATGAACACCTTCGGACATACAGCGTGAGTTCCCCATCGTTGCTTGATGCAGTCGTACGCCAAACGCAACAGAACTAACCCTCCCATGTCTAACTTAGCATGAAAAACGACGCCCAATGGGCCAACTACCCGGTCTCGAACGCCTGGCTCGCCCACCACGTCTGGGACCACTTCGACTATACCCAGGACGAAACCTGGTACCGAGATACCGGCTACCCGATCCTGAAGGGCGTGGCCGAGTTCTGGCTCTCGCAGCTCGTCGAAGACGAATACTTCCACGACGGCACGTTGGTGGTCAACCCGTGCAACTCGCCCGAACACGGGCCTACTGTGAGTTGACCCTACTACCAACCCCATCTTCTAAGCCCCCTCTTCTCTCAAGCCAGAGACATGGACGTTCCTGGGGGAGAACCCCCAGGACCCCCTTTCTTTCAGCTTCCTGGTATAACTGCCTCCCAAGCCAGAGATATAACCGTTTCTGGGGGAGAACCCCCAGACCCCCCTTCCTTTCAGCCTCCTGGCATACCTACCCACAAACTAATACCTTGGGTAGACATTCGGCTGCACGCACTACCAGCAACTCCTAACCGAACTCTTCACGCACCTCCTCTCCACCCGAATTACCCGAAACGACCCCACCCTCCACGTAACCCTAAGCAAAACCCTCCCCCTCCTCTCCCCAGGCCTCCTGATAGGAAAGTGGTCCCAAATCCAAGAATGGAAACTCGACCTCGACACACAAAACGACACGCACCGCCATCTCTCAAACCTCTACGGCTGGTACCCAGGCTCCTCCATCTCCTCGCTGCACGGAAACAACAAAACTGTCACCGACGCCGTCGCCACAACGCTGTACTCGCGCGGCAACGGCACCGAGGACCAGAACACAGGGTGGGCGAAGGTGTGGCGCAGCGCGTGCTGGGCCGGGCTCAACCACTCCGACAACGCGTACGCCGAGCTCTCGCTCGCCGTGCAGAAGAACTTCGCGGCCAATGGCTTCAGTCTGTACGGCGGGAGTACGCCGTTTCAGGCGGATGCGAATTTCGGGCTCGTGGGTGCCGTCTTGGAGGCTTTGGTGCGCGATCGCGACCGGAGTTATGATGCGCTGAGTGGCAAGACGACGGGGCGGGTGCAGGAGGTTGTTCTTGGTCCCGCGATTCCTGGGGCCTGGGGCAATGGGGAGATCAAGGGGGTGAGGTTGAGGGGTGGGGGGAGGGTGAATTTTAGGTGGGATGCGGCCGGGGTGGTGTCGTCTTGTCGGTTTGACAGCGCCGGCAGGAAAAGTAGTATGGCTAAGGTCAGGTTTGTTGGGAAGGACGGTGCGGAGATTACGTGTTGAGTTCGTTTGTATGGTGATTGATGTCTGTTTGTTGATATAGGGGCGGTGGAGTTGATGTGGCACTGCAGTGTTGGGGGTAGTAGAGTGCTCCCTAGCTCTCTTGCCCTTGACGATAGCAGATCGTATGGACTTTTATCCAAGTACCCCCTATCGATAACAGAGACATGAATGCAGTTTGTATGATAAGGAAATAAGGAAAGCAAACAAGGTAGCGCTTATCGGCACAGCACACCTCAATCACTTACTGTACGCTTCATACGATAGGCCAGCTGCACGTGCCTAATGCGACATCAGATCTTCTGCATTCCTCGTTCCGACTGCCCACCCCACACTGTCTCCTGCCATGACATCTATTTCCGAGAACAAGATAAGTCTGGCATAGTCTCACCACAATGAACCCATTCAACCGACTCGGTCGATTCATCCGGCGACAGTCTTCTCCACTGCAGATAGTACGGAATTTACCCCGTGATCCCATCCTGGATTTCGCCATCAAGATCGAGGATGAAAAGATGCCCGCGTACGAGCGGGGGCTTTACTACCCGGTGACCCCAGGGGAGGTGATTCAGTCCCAGTATCAGGTTCTCAGTAAGCTAGGCTTTGGGGCTAATTCCACGGTATGGCTGTGCCGTGACCTCCATTATGTTTGCGCCCTGAGCGTCAGTCTGACAAGCGCAACCATTGACTCCGATTATAGTCACCACCATCGCTATATCGCGCTCAAGATCTACACTAGCAGCAGCTCAGAGGTGAACAATGAGGCGCGAGTATTGAAGCACCTCTCGGAAGTGCAAACGGACCATCCAGGCAGTGCCTGCGTCCGGCGAATGTTGGCGGAGTTTGAGATCACCAGCTCACGCGGTCGTCGGCATCAGTGTATTGTGCATGAGCCCTTGTTGAAGAGTCTCCTGCATTTCCAGGCGACATTAGACCCGATCAGTCTTCCCGAGGACTTTATTGAAGGGCGCGTTGCAGCAGCTCTTGCTCGCGCTGGATTCTTTACATTCCGAGGCGCACATGATACATACCGGTAGGTTTGCAGACCCATAAGCCATATGGGAGGAGGGAGTAGGATCACGCTGAAATCGTTCATGATACATTACCCCCCCCAACCAAGATATTCAGGCCAAGAATATCATGATCAGCTCCAAAGATGATTCGATCTTCCGCGAATGGGCAACCGAGGAGCAGCATGACCCCAGCCCGCGGAAGTCCACCGGCGACGACTACACCGTGTACCAATCTCGGCGGTACCGCCGTCGAAAGGGATGGCACACCTCCTTCGGCATGCCACTTCTTGCTGCTTTCGGGGAGGCGCGCATAGGCGATACTCACCGTGGGCTAATCCAACCGGACCTGTACCGTGCGCCCGAGGTGGTGCTTGGCATGAAGTGGGGTTCTAAAGTGGATATTTGGAATGTCGGGGTGCTGATTAGTAGACTATAGCTTGAAACGCGTAGATCATATCACGGTTTATTAAAACTCACTGTCGCGCAGATCTGGGATCTGTTCGAAGAACACCACCTATTTGACGGGCGCGGGCCTGATGGAAAGCATTCGGACGCTCAGCTCCTTGCTGAAATGGTGGCGCTGCTGGGTCCTCCGCCACTGGCCTTCTTGGAGAAGTCTCCGAGGAGTCGGGAATACTGGGACGCTCAGGGTAAATGCGTTACGCCTGCAATTTGTCTGAACGTGGCTAACGTTTAAATTTCTCGCAGGAAATCGGATCGGTGCTGTGAATGTGCCACGGGCTTCATTAGAAGATTCAGAGGAGTATCTGGAGGGTGAGAACAAAGAGCTGTTCATGCAGTTTGTGAGAAAGATGCTGCAATGGGATCCGGAGGCGAGGCTGAGCGCGCGAGAACTCTTGATGGATCCGTGGCTGAATAAGCCGTAGCCCGGGCATGGTGCTCATAAACCTCTCTGCTATTTAGAGCATGTGAACTTCTTGCCTTTGTCACTCAACAAACCTCACGATTTGCCACGCGACTGGTTTGTCTCGTAACCTCTGGTCGAGGTCACTGAAGATGTCATTCATCAGCCGAACCTTCTCACGCGTTCGCGGTTGTCTCTTCCGCTCGAAAGAGCAGCCAATTGATGAAGATAGTCAAACACGTCCATGCAGACTGAATAGCTTTTGCCGAAACTAAAACTAGTACTCGTCGTCTCTGACCAACCTACCTACACCTACAGTAAGGTACTCGGTAAGCGAGGGGCCCATGTAGGCGAATGGCCCGCCCTTGTATTCCATATAAACTCACTTTTGATATCGAAACCATTTCTTATTATAATTCTAGTAGAACTTAGTATATAGCTTATAGTTGCTATATATAACGGTATTATGCAAGATATAACCTTTGATATACCTTGATCACCTTAATACATATATAATTTTAGTATCCGATAACACAGTTAGCGGGGCACTAAAAACCAGCCCTTATGAAACTATCTATCTACTACTCGCACGAATAGTCGCGAAGCTTAGCGTCGGCGGCGCCGAATTGCGTCCCGTGCGGAAATTACAAAGTGCTGAATTCAACGACTAGCACTCATACGAAAGCCCATAGTAGATATCATAGGGCTTGGCGGGTAGAACAAAAGCTCGCCATGAGATAGTGTACCGGTCCAAGGGTCTTGTTATTGTAATAGCAGTAATCCTCTTAGGAATCATAGCACTTAGGGACAGTCCCCCTGACAACGAGACACCGTTCAGTCACTAATCAATCATTGTCCACTCCACAATATCAGAAGCGGGTATGACCACTTTAGGTCGGTGATCATTGTCCTTCGGGTGCGAAATTGGCTCAATTCCCGAGCCGGGGAGCGTGACAATGGTTTGCGCGTGATCCTCGGCCGTTCCCCAATCCCACCAGTCCAGTGTATTTCCTTTGAATTGGTATCGGAGCTGCTCGTGAGGCTGGAGGTCGTCGGGCGGATCAAAAGACCAAGACTTGGACCAGGATTCCCCGGGGAAGAGCGTCACAAACCGACCTTCTTCGTTTTCCGCCACGTTGAGCTCTCTGTCAGGATTATCCCAAAACACATGTGCTGACCGATCGTCCTCGAAGCTCTTCCATTCGTTCTCAGTCTGCAGGTCAGACTGATTAGGGCAGAGACGGCGATAGACGCGAAAGGCGTCGAACGGATTAAACGCCCAGGTGTGGAAAGTGATCGGTTGAGGACTCTCATTGTCGGATGATGGGCTGTGGTATATGACCCGTATAGATATGTTCAAACCCCCGCAAGCAGACATTGTGGAGCTGCAGCTCAACTCCAGACTTAGGACTGGTGCACCAGGTCTGTCTTGAACTTAGCTGTTAGATATCTTTCTATTGGAGTTGGAGAGCTTACACTCTCTCACTTGGACTGATTGGTGGTGGTGTCGGAGGTGAGGGAATCTGCGGTCTCCTCCCTTCTTGCACAGTAAGGGTGAGATGTGCACCGCCCGGAACTAAAATAGGGGGCCATTTTCTTTTTATTTCCTTCTTCTGCTGTGGCGTACCCCAATCCCAGTATGTAATCTCTTTGCCCGTCCAGAGAAGGGTATAGGTGCGCCCCGGTTCTACAAGCCTAGCCCAGGTCTCAGGTAAGCTTGTTTGCATATTTATTGTACTACGGTCCTAATTTCTCTTAGCCTCTTCAACATAACATGATGCTGGTTCATCAGGGAACTGATGAATTGTTGGTAAAGATGGTAAATATCTCGAGTGATCTTCAATTCCGATCCTCTTGATATTGCCGCTCTCTGGATCGTGAGATATTAGAATATATTCTTCCTTACTGGGATCTATCAAAGATTTCCAGCCAAGCCAGAACTGTTGATCGTCTAAGACCCTGCGTAAAGTAATCGTGAATGAGTAGGTTGGTATTTTATCCTCTGTCCAGAGTGTCGGGCTGCCATCTAACTCGAGGACTAATGGTGGGGTGTCGGGTCTATGCAAAACACGCTTCTTAGCCGGGGTCTTCACAATAGTCGTAATAAACATACAGCCTATTGTTTTCCTTCCATCTTATGTACGTATCCATTTGGAACCAACCTCGATTGTTGTCGGGATCGAAGGCGGCATGAAGTCGGGAAGAGTTTGGGCTGGAAAGTAAAGGGTCTCAACTCTTGAATTGCATGAATTGTCTCTGACTTAAAGTAGTAAGCCAAGCTAGGCGGTGGGTCCACCTGTTGGCTTACTGCCAGCTTACTTTCACTTTCCACCAACTATCCACCAATCGGGTGACTCATTGGCGGATGATGTAGATACCATGGATCAGTAGGTCGCTCGTGCTTTTGTATGCTAGAGGGATTTCCCTTCGGTCAGCAGCAGCATGATAATTGAATGTCAGGAACGTGAGGTGTCACTGACCTATACCACAGGTGTGGGTTGGTCAGAGACGACAAGTAAATCTATTTATCCACGGCAGAATGGCTAAATGGATGAATGCGGGGTACAACGTAAGTAGAATGCAAGTTGCTCTAATTATCCAAGTATATCCGGTCTATATACACCATCCCACCCTACCCAGACTGTCTACCATCATACCATATCACATCACATCCAACGAAAGATCCAACCAGCCAACACACATAACCGCAACCCGGAAGAAAAGAAAATGACATTCGAAAACAAAGTTTACGCAATAACAGGCCTCGCAGGCATCGGCCTAGCAGTAGCCAAGCACCTTTACGCGCGGGGCGCCCGCCTCTCGCTAGCCGACATCTCCGCCTCAGCCCTGCAAAACGCCGTCTCGATCCTAACAACCGAAAGCCCTGACCCCAACGACAACAACGACAGAATCCTAACCACAGAGCTAGACATCACGAATCGCGCGGCCGTCGACGCCTGGATCACCAGGACAACCATCCACTTCGGGCGCCTCGACGGCGCAGCCAACATGGCCGGCGCCATCGGCCGGAAGCACGGCGTCGGCGCCCTTCTCGACCAGGATGACGACGAGTGGGATATGCTGCTGCGCGTGAATATGTCCGGCACCATGTACTGCCTGCGCGCCGAGGTGCGCGCCATCCTGGCCACGGCTGGTACCGGTAGCATCGTCAATGCAGCGAGTATCCAGGGTGTGCGTGGGTTTGCGCTCCATGCGGCGTATTCGGCGACGAAGCATGGGGTGGTGGGGTTAACGCGCAGTGTGGCGAAGGAGGTCGGGCCGGCTATACGGGTGAATGCGGTTGCGCCGTAGGTTTTCTCTTCCTTCTTGCTTTCTTGGGGTTGGAGTTGGGGTTGGGTGTTGCTGGACGGGGCTAATTTTCTTGTTTGACGCGCTAGGGGCTCGATTCAGACGCCGTTACTGGATAAGGCAGTCGAAATTCAGGGCGGGAAGCTGAATGCTATGCCCACGGTGTTTCCTCGGTTGGGGACCGCGGAGGAGGTCGCCGAGTCGGTTGGGTTTCTGCTGAGTGATGCTAGTTCGTATACCACGGGACAGGTGCTGAGCGTGGATGGCGGGTGGGATCCGTAGTTTGTATTCGTCAGGGTGGTATGTACAGATTGTGCAATGTCGGTATGTGCATTGATCCTTATTCAGTGTGCTTGTGTGCTGCATATCGTGCAATGAATTGCCATGTCGCTAAACTGCAAATATAGCGTTATCATGTCATGTCGTCGGTATATATCAAGGTGGGCGTCGAGAAGCAATTATGTAACTCCTGCACAGTAGTACTAGCTGCAGAACCAAAGGTAGCTCCCAGTGACTGCAAAGCTATTAGTGCTCATCTGGAAGAATGGCATCCGAGACGTACATATGAACGCAAGAATATCAAGCATATAATGAGGCCGAACCGTCGTCCCGCTGCTTTCGCTTGTATCGGTGCCGTTGTCTCTGCACAGCCACTGTTCAGCGCAGTCATACTCCTCTAACATGGACACATACCCAGATTTAGCAACCGGCCATCCGTCCTTGTAGTCAAGGTAGTTCCAACCCAACTGCGCATCCTATAACGGGATCAGCCAGACATCTCACATCATTGCGCGCTCACTCACAGTATCCTTGAGCCCGATCGAAGTGTTAACTGCATCCATATCAGCAGACATCCCCCGCATCCGAGAAAGACAACATACGATAGTGATAATACAGAACATCCGACGCCCCGTCTGTCCCAGACAGAACACCAACACCCCCTGGAGCGTACACCGAGCCATGATTCGAGGCATAGACCACGGTGCCGCCTCCCTCCGTCAAACGACGTCCATCTTCATCCACGAATGGACCCCTCACATCCTTCGACCGTCCAACACGTATACTATACCTACAACGCAAACCAGTTAGCAAGCCACAAACACCATCAATCCACGCACCAGGAACTCACTCCTTCCCCATAGCCGGAAACCCCTTTTGAAACCCACAGCACTTCCCATGACTAAACCAGGCATAGTAATACGGCTTCCTATAGCTCATAAACGAGCCCTCATCGGGCTTCACGCGCCCTCCATCCGGTGCATACACCAGATTCGTCGCATTCGGCCGTTCGGGCTCCCTTACCGAGAGCAGGTCTTCAGCCAGAGGCACCAGATAGATTCCATGCCAGTAGCTTCCATACAGCAGGTACGGCTGCCCGGAGGCATGGTCCGTAATGAAGGACGGGTCGATGGCGTTTGAGTCGGTGTACGGGGAGATATCGGATCCGTTGCCCTGGCCCGTATTGATCAGCGCCCCGTGGTCGGTCCAGCTGCCCGGGCTCAATTGCGTCGAGGTCGCCACGCCGATGGCGCTGTTGCGGCTGCCGGCTTTGCTGATCGAGTAGAAACAATAGAAAGAGTTTTTCCAGGCGACGGTGGTCGGTGCCCAGGGCCGGCTGCGGTTTTGCTTCGGGATCATGCTGGGTCCGTCTAGGACGGTCCCGAGTTGTGTCCACGGTCCGTCGAGAGTTGGAGCTTTGTACATGGGGAGGTGAATCCCGCCCTTGAAGAGCCAGTAGGCGCCGTCGTGTTGGAGAATGTTGGGGTCGTGCGCGGCTACATTGCCGGCGTTAGGGAGAGGGTATTTGGTGGTTTGTGAGAACGGGGAGATATTCCCGGTCTGGGGTTGAGCTTCAGACTGAGACCTGGCATTAACTGAGCATAGGAGGATGGCCGTGGCCAGAAGTATGAGGAGATGCATTGACGCCGGTTATATGGGATGCGCAGCGGTTGGACGGCGCACTATTGGGCCTGGCAGGTTATGGAATGGCAATGCGGCGAGAAAAAAAAAAAAAAAAAAAAACAAGGGGCTATAAAGAATCTGCCAGTATATACACTAGATTGCAGTGGATGATTGTAGTATCATTGAGTCAATTGCTGTAAAGACTGCAGACAGCCTCAATGGGCCGCTTGGGCGACAGCCATCTCCATTGGACAGACACGGAACGAGAGCGAATGCTTAGTAAAATGGGAACAGGGTAAAGAGTCTGACTTTTGTGATAGCCAATTCTCCAGACATCGGTCAGAATGGGACTCAATTCACAGGAGAGAAACAAAAGTTGGTGCCTCGAGAGTGACGGGGATTTCAGCGACTGTTAAATGTAGATAAACAATGCCATGCATGGTTAGTGCGGGCGGGCGGATAAGCACTGCCTGCACCATTTCCCGGTCACGTATCAGTACGTAATTTTGTCGTGGCCACTGCCAAGGCATTAGTGCTGGTGGATTACGGAGCGGGCAAGTATAACAGAAGACCTGTGGCAAGTTTTGGCTCTATCCATGATATTAGGTTAGTATATCCTCTATAGATTACCAAGAGAATAACTACAGATGATTTTATAACGCCAACGTCACGTGCTATGCTTTAGGTAATATGCATAATTTAAGCTGACAGAATCTATTACCTGTGTAGCATGTACAGTACTAGGCTTCTACGGACACGTGACTAGCTAATCAATTGGCTACACCGAAGTAAATATAGATGGTATAGGTAAAGAATTAGTTTGAGTCCAGCACTCAAAACTCATTATTCTCGATTGTCAGTTAAGTTTCTTGTATTCAATCCACCATTGTCATTTAGTACTAAACTCGACCTTTCGGGTATAAACCAGCTAACCGACTAGTAACTAAAAACTAATCATATAGACACCGACCTCTTCTTTAGCAACACAACTTTTCGACTCTATCACCAGCACTAGCCTGCTGAAATGGAGGACGAGGTGTTATACCCAATTATCTGCATACAATCGATTCCACATTATGTAACAAAGACCCTGCTTTACACATTCTGTGACCTTATCTGATTTATCCATAGATCCTTACCCATATTATCGTCACGGCCTACCGAAGAAGCTTCTTTTCACCGCACTGCCTCTACGTTCTTGAAGATGACAACAATATTGAAGTTGATGCGACAAGTGCTATAGACATGCACTATGAGTACGACACATCTGCCTTTCACGGGAAATCTATTGGGGATGTCGCTTGTCTTCTTCGAGAAAGGGTAGCTGGAAACAAAGTAGCCTCAAACGTGTTCTACATCGCGGACGACCAGACAATCAAGGATTATAGCTTACTCCTGGTTCAAGTCCAACCCAGAGAGAAGGCCCAATCCTTTATTAGTGTTCGACTCGCATGTGAATTTATAAACCGAATGGCGAGGTTTGTCTCTCATCCTGAATACTCAACATCAATTCAGGATATTCAGAACGATGTCGATGATGATGGCGTGTATCGGGGTGGTAGGAAGGACCCTTACACATATTGTGGGACACGGACTGTCTATCTTGATCAACAAGGCGCGTTACAATAGAGCATTGAAACAGGAAACTCCATTTGAGGACTACTTTGAAGTTGATCAGCCAGGGATCATGCCATGGTGGCGGGAAGGAGTTAAGGCCAGATAGCAGATCTGCCAAAAAAAAGAAAAAAAACAGACCCAGTTGTTCCATGATTTGACTGGATTGTCCAATTCCAGTGCAATGCTTAAACCATACTGAATCTTTGTAGTTTTGAGTAGAGTACTATGTACAAGACGTGTATTATGACTGGTAAGGCAGGTGTATTGGACTGAGAGTATCTTACACAACCATATAACCGTGATACAGCCCGTTCAATAAAATAGAAGGATGCTATTTGGACCATTGTGTGGTGTTTCAGGCCACTTATTGGCTAACTATTAATTTATTCCCGGGATTTTCCTGTCCTGCGCGTTAAATTGGTATGATGATATCTCTGCACATGGCACCAATGACTGCCGGTCAATAGCCGATGAGACATGATGCGAGGACGGCACACTGCTCTCAACTTTCCCGAGCATGTAACATTGAAGACAGCAACATCGCAGAGTAGATCAACAGGGCACTGGCTAGGATCTAAGACAGAGGAGGTACCTACGTCAAGAACCTCACTCAATGCCCCGGATCATTTAGTACATTCGTGGGCCTCGACTGACGTATTGAATCAATCACCCCTTCGCTCAGAGCTATGAAAGCAGGATGATCAACAATCCACACAGAAGGCGTTCGGCTTGTCTTTCATCATTCATGCATAGACGAAGATTGGTGGATTCGTGGTTGATGCAATCGGAATCTCTCCTTGGCGAGGCTGAATAATGTGTGGCTGTTACCGTGGTTGACGGCAATCCAGCCCTTGGCAAGCATTGTATAAAATCACAAAATGAGCGAAAACCGCACTGGGAGCGACTTCGACCCAGATGTGGGTGCATGACTATGCGGTGACATCGACGCGATGCCGTTGATCGTCGCTCCACCCGATCGCATGGCGTCACCGCCACGATGATCTTCATCGTCTGACTAAGGCCATCAAAGAGGACATGGATGATACAGGTGATCAAATGTAATTGTACAGTGCATACCATCATTCGGGTGTGGGCGTTAGGTAGATAGGAAAGGTGGACATGAGATAACTACTCTTACATCGTCGCTAGAACGTTATGCCCGTCAGGTCGGCCCAGTCAAACGAATCGAGGAACGGGTCTACGGCAGGCTATGGAAATTGTCAGTTCAGCTCAACAAAAACAGGAGGAACACTGACCACCATGCCAAAGGTCCCTGGTTGCCCTACAGCTACGTCTGGGACAAAGGGTGGTGCCAGCCCAGGACCGGCGTTTAAGCTCGGAACCTGAAATGGTCAAGGTGAGCGACCGGGCAATTTGATTTGGCAAAAGAGTCTATAAGATTGAATGACTTACCTGGTTAGTCTTAAAGCTTCCCATGCCCCAGTCGCCCAAATGAGCACAATTGGCATGTCGGGTGAAGAGTGTCTGCGCGAAAAGGATCACGCGCTCCACGACTTCCTGTTTGTAGATGTGCGACTGACTTGGCCAGAGAGTGGCTTTGACCAGCGCCAAGATCGTGGACATGAAGAAGTATTCTTTGGCTCCCTTGACCACCAGAAGCAATCGAGATTCAAGGCACGTCAAGGTTGTTTCTACTAGGGAGATCAAAGATTCGGGAAGCCCAGGTAGGGTGCGGGTAAGGAAAGTACAACACCCGCCTAAATCAGGATTAGCGTGGTCAACACAGACCTAAGAGCGATGGCAACTACTGACCGGTATTGCTGTCTTTTTCGTGAAGGAGCTGGCAGATGGTACAGTAAGCCTGCACGGTCCATTCCCCCAAATTGCAGAGCGACAGCTGAGGTGACCTTTCACGGAGTCGTCGCTGGGTGGACAAAATCATCGACGCCACTTCGAGGCGGGACCGCGCCGAAGGTGCAAACAAAGCCTCCCTGGGAGCTTCAATCGCAAAAGGCGTGTGGATGGACAGAAGTGAATGACCGATCTTGTTCTCCAGAAGGGCCTTGATCAAGATTGCTCGGTCCGAAGTACGACGGAAGTCTTCCACTTCAGACGTGGGCCAGGCCGGGATCTTGGAAAGGTGACGGTTCAATTCCCAGTCCAGGCGTATGATCTCCTCATATCGACAGCTGATCCGGGGAGAATGCATCAGGGCACAGGCCTTCAGCCGCAGAGGCAGCGATTGTGTCAGCACCGCCTGGAAAGAAGAATCCGTCAGCACATCAAGCGGCTTTTCTTCTGGAAGCTCGGTGCTATCGTCTTGAATATCTGTATCATCGATATTCAATGCTGGAAACGTGTCATAATCGTCTTCTTGCACTGAAGGGGGCATGCCTCGTTCTAGAGAGATTTGAAGATCGAGTTCCACGATAGTCGCCCACATCCGTCGGCGCATTTCCATGCTGAACGTGGAAATTTTGGTATATCGACTTGGGTCGCGGTGATAACCTGCCATCATAGCCCGTTTCACGAGGGTCCCGGTAGCAAGCCAAGCCTGACTGCGCTTCATCCCATGAATATTCAGAGCAATGACGAGCAGTGTTTGTAGCTGGAGAGTTGCGAGTTCGGGTCGCTTGAAATTGGCATTTTCGAGCCACTTTTCGACATGAAGAACCCACTCAATGGCAGTGTAACATGTGAGGGTCCCGTCGGTTTTCATTTGAAGGGTGTTGAAGTCCGCCAAGTTCCAGGCACAAGCCAGCACCAAGAGCAACTGAACGACAAATACGGGTGAGGTCATGTCGGGACTCTCCCTCTGCGTCCAAAACCGCTCTAGTTCCTCAAGAAAGGAAGGCATATGAAGGATTCGATGCGTAGACTCGATATAGATGCAATACAAGTAAACCAGCTCGTCGATCACTGCGCGCGACGGAAGCATGGCGGTTAGTGATTGCATGGTGGGCATCGGAAACGGTTCATTCAGGGGTTTTCTCTTCCAGAGACCTCTTTTGACTCGGATGAGATCCGGTCGCAAGGCTGAGAGATGAGGACTGGCAACCCTAATCTCTTCCGCGAAGGCCCTGAGATCGGGGAACTAAAACCTGCAATCAGCATGCGCGCGACTTGTCAAATGGCCAAACAGATCGTAGATTGGTGACTTGGTATGGCATCACTTCCCGTGAAAACCGGGCGACATACCTGAGCTATCAGATTGGCAAATATGCCCGAGCCATTGTAACGCGTCTTGGTCTCTCGGCCTCGCATCATGATCCGCGGCGAAATGTCGAGCTGCTGCGTGGGCGACGCTAGTTCTTCGTCCTCGTCGCCCGGGTGCGGCTGGGTGTTGTCCTGGTGAGGTTCCAAGACCTGTCGAGGACGTTGCAGCAGACCGGTATTTGCATAGGGTTCTTGATTGACGGCAGCCTTGGGGGCGCCCAGCACGGTTTCCAGAAACTTATCGCGCCTCTCCTCGCCGGGACGTGAGCTTCTGGAGGTCGGTTGAGGCCGAGTCGGCAAACTACTTATCCCCGAGTCCGGGGTAGGGTGGGCAGTCGCCCGATCAGTTTGGGCCATTTGTGTCGTGGCTGTGGGACCTCGCTCGGAGAAAACGGGCGAAGCAACTGTATTGGGTTGCTGCCAGAGAAAACCATCCTCGTAGGTGCACCTGGTGGGTGTTTTGCTCTTCTGACACCGTCCGCATACGGGATATTCACGGTCGCAACGGAGCTTTCTGCTGCGGCACTGCATACACGCCATGGTCCGTCTGCGTCGCTTGCGCACCCGTTGCTGGGGTTGTTGCTGTAGTTCTGGTTGAGAATTTGGAGCCGAAGCTCCCGATTTCAATGGAGCATCAGCCATGATTGAAGAATGAGAAAATGCGAAGGAAGTGGGAGAAAAAGAGGGAGAGGAATTGGAGGGGGCGGAGGGGAGGTATGCGCCGCGCAGAGAGAGAGAGAGAGTGTGTGTGAGTGAGTTTCCCCCCTCCTCCGAAACTACTGACTGACTGACTGACTGACTGACTGGCAGGCACTGAGCAAAAGCACAAACACACACAGACACACACAGACACACACAGACAGACAGACAGACAGACAGACAGACACACCGACACAGGCAGTGCACATTCACAACTTGATAAGGGATTGGCGGGCGGTGGCTTACGTGTTGGCACAGCCCGGCCGTAGCCTCCAAATGAGGCAACCTGACCCGCGCCTGGTTTCAGTTCTTACCAAGAAGATCGACTTCCCCCGATAATTATTGTCCAGGCAGAGACAATGAATTGCATGCTCTGCTTGTGGTTGACAATATCTCGACAATATCAATGCCTTTCTTCGTGTTGCAATTCCTCTCTTACTCTCATAAAGAGAACAGAGTCCAAAAAAAAACAAGCTGCATTGGTTGAACCGAGATCTGAGACAATTTGTTGTGCGAGTCAGCACAATGCGAGCTGGCACTGAATCAGAGAATGCGCCGGTTGCTCCAGGCTTCCTTATTCTTGAGATCTGAGGATCTATTTTAACCCGTGAGTGTTGGATTTAGTCTCAATATCCCAGACATCATTCTTTGCAACCTTGCCCAACCCGGTGATGAATGACCAGGATCTTGCCCATCTGAGTTTAGCGAACAGGGGCTCTAAGGGTCCAGGCGAGCCATCTGCGGGCCACAGTTCCACCGGTGGGCTGGCCCAATTTTCTGCGGTGAATTGTCAACAGTCCAGTCAAGGAAGATTTATGCTTCTCGGGTGAATTGGATGCGACAGAGTCTAGAGCTAGACACGCGACACTAGCCAGTGACGACACCAACAAGCATTGATGTGCTTAAAGGAATGCAATTATAGTTCGCCGGACGGGCTGTTATGCTCGACACCTGTCACCACCGTGCGGCTGTGGTGGAGGCTTCATGACTGAAACTGGTTTATTCTGGCATTGATAACTTGGCATTGCATGTATGCTTAAGCTTCCCCAAGAACTAGCGGCAGCCAACTGTTTTGACAGGTCTGGTCGTCACTTTCTCCACGACAGCTTGAAAACAATCGTGGCTGCCTATTAAGACTAAAGCTCTCGGGGATAAGCCTCGGAGATGATGCTTTGCGATTGTCCGTCTCCGAGCTGAACGGAGTATATATCAAAACTTAGAATTCAGTCAGCGAGGGGGCATTGTTGCCGGATCTCTTTCTACTACATAAATTTCTAACTCATCGCCGTACCCCATTCTCTTGTTCTTTATTTAAATTAGCGATACTACCTTGAACCTGGCAAAACGAACACATTACGATGCTCCGGTCACTTCTAACGCGCGGCGGCCTCATCCGCAACGACGAGTATATCTTCCCCAGCGTGGACCCTACGAAAGATGGCCCCGACTGCAAGAAAGACTGCGCCGACTGCACAGTACATTTCCCGTCGAAAGTCAAAGTCGAGACCTCCAGGCCGCTGTACGGGCACATCAAAGAGTTCCACACCCATGTCTTGGTCGCGACAGGGAAGTCGGACTGGACTGAACGGGTGGAGAACGAGAAAGGATCTCTGATGGAGGCATTCGACGCTTTCTCAAACCAGTCCAAGCACGGGGTCCGTTCTGTTCCGATCCATGTGGGAGAATGAGTGATCGCTAACCAGGCACTAGCGCGTTATGATCTCTGCTTCAAATCTCCAGTCCCACCAGGAAGATCCCGACAGCACACACGGAACCACAATCCTCCTCCTCCCCTCGTTCACCTTCGTTGATTCCGTCCACAAGGCCGACGTGCGCGAGGTCGTTGACCGATTCATCGACGCCCCACTATCCAACCAAGGCACCGTGCTAGAGGACCCTGCGTCGCGACTGTCGCCTCGACCATGCCAGTATGACTACGTGGTGCTGCTGTGCTCTCACCGACGGCGAGATGCGCGCTGCGGGATCACCGCCCCGTTGATCAAGAAAGAACTCGAGCGTCATCTGCGGCCGTTGGGGCTTTATCGTGACGCGACCGACGAGCGCCCGGGCGGAGTGGGCATTTTCCTTGTCTCGCATGTGGGCGGCCACAAATTCTCGGCGAATGTCCTCGTTTATCGGAAAGAGCAGGAGCAGATGATCTGGCTCGCCCGGATCAGACCCGAGCACTGCGAGGGGATCGTCAAGTACACGCTCTTGCAGGGCAAGGTGGTTCACCCGGAGTCCCAGTTACGGGGTGGGTTTGACAGATGTCGCGGCTTGACGAGTTGGTGAAGGGCTTTTCTTCATGATGTATGATCAAATTGAATAATTAGGAAACTTAATAGACATGCGCCAGGTACGGGAAATAAACTTCGCTCCATAGATTAGCAAAGGGCTGAGACACGCGACGTCACCCGCTGTGCAAAACCCGCGTTAAGTGATTTTCGCGGACGCGACGGACCAACAGCCGCAGCACCATTACTTCTCCTACTCCTACCCCCCCTCTCTCCACACCTTGCGAACCCAACTCCTTCCCTCCACTAGAATTATCTATCATCATCCCCTTATAATCCTCCACGATATTCCTTCCTATAAATTTTGAAACTCCCCCATTGAACATCATGCAATAATGGCAACAGTCATGGTACCCGAGACCGCAGGCCCCTCGGCCACCCTACGCGCGGAGCTGAAAGAATGGGAGCGAGCGTTCGCGGACGCCAATGGAGGCCGCAAAGCCGGACGAAGTGATATCAAGAAAGACCCTGAAATAGGTACGTCACCCACACAGCCTTATTAGCACAAACTCGCGAACCCATTGCCCCCTAACCCTCTCCTCCCCTCCCCAAAAACTCAAGCCCAGAAAACCCCAGCTAATATCACCCCCTCCCATCACACAGCCGCCAAATACAAAGAATACAGCCGTCTCAAATCCCTCGAAACAAAACCCGCAAAGACAAACGACGACACCCCCCACAAGAAACGCAAACACACCTCTCCGCACGGGCCCGACCCCGCCACCGCGATTACGCCACGCAAGAAGACGGGTAAAGGCGCAGGCGGGGGAGGAGCCTTCGAAACGCCGTCCAAGAACAACTCAGCTACCAGACCTGCAGCCCAGCATCCGGCGGAGGTGGATCCATACGACTCGCCGTCTGTTCTCCGGCGACTGTTCAGCCCGAGCACGCACCTCTCGCCTTTGAAGGCGGCGATTGGGCCGACGCCGCAGCGCGATGGAAAGGCGCTGGGGCTTTTCGATCTGTTGTCCGAGTCTGGCGGGAGTACGGCGACGCCGTCGGCGAGTCGGATTGCGGGGTTGAAGGATGCGAGTGTGCGGACGCCTTCGAGGCGGAGGGGTCGGAGAGCAAGCAATAATACTAACGGCAATGCTCTTGGGACAATTGCGGAGGAGGGTGAAGAGGAGAATGATATAGCGGGAGGAGAGGAGGAGGAAAGTCCCCGGTTGGAGCGCACCCCTGCGTCTTCCGGCAAGAAGTGGATGCTGTCTACCTTGTTTGCGACGCCGACGACGTGGCGGTATGCGGCTATGATGGAGGATGGGTCGAATAAGAAGGGTGCGGCGGCGGTAGAAGGGGCTCCTGGGGGGAATGCGGCGACGGCAGAACCGAACGAGTCGGAAACGCCCTCTTTCCTGCGACGGTCGACATCGGGTCGGTTCGATGGGTCGACTATCACTGGCGGACTGAGTCCGATGGCTGCGCGCACACGGCCGCAGTTCGTCGGGAAGGGTCTCTCGGCCTTGGTGCAGGGGCTGCGCGATATGGAGGAGGAGCAGATGCAGGATGATCTGGACGTTTTGAGGGAGATCGAGGCCGAGCAGGCGGCGATGAATGCCCAGGTGGCCGATAGCCAGGCCGCGGAAGGCGGCGGCGGGCCTGTCTGGAAGAAGAAGGGCCAGAAGCGGACGACCCGCAGGGTGCGCATGAAGCCAGTGGTTGCGCCGGCGAAGCAGCCCGCGCCTGAATTACTGCCGGGTTCTGATGATGGAGACGAGCAGGAGGATCAGGGACCCGGGATTGTCACCAGCGTTCCCGAAACGCAGCAACTCCTAGCCCCCGGGCCAGTTCCTCTCGAGCAAAGCCACACCGCGGACTCGGACCTCGACTCGCTGCACACCATGTCGGAACCGGACTTCGATTCCGACCCAGACTACGACGAAGGACCACAACTCCGGAAAAGCTTCTCCGAGAAGATGAAGGAGGCCATCGCGGCCGGCAAGCCGCCAGCGACGACGGAGCAGTCAGCACCGTCGCCGCCGGTACAAGCGCAGGAACCCGAGCCCAAGAAACCTCGCGCGCGCAAGGTCAATCCCGAAGCGCACGCCAATTACCGGTCGTTGAAGATCCGGAACAAGAATTCCAAGGGACGAGGCGCGGGACGCTTCGGCAGGCGACGTTAGAACACACACACTCCCGGTACACGAGCCATGAACCCTCCCAGCATATGCTTTTCGTTTGCATCATTCTCAAGATACCAACCAGCCTTAGCATTTATACATATACATTTGTCTATAGCATGATCCAATCATAGTATGACTACATTGTCTATAATATCAAAGTACCATAGAATGCACAACCTTGTCCCTGTTGCACCATTGCTTCTATTCTAGTCCGGTATGTACCGCTCCCGCGCGTATTGCAGCCTGCGAGCCTGATCCTGCGACCCTCGGCGATGATACGGCTGCCTCCGCGAATGAGCGGGCTTGGCCACTCTGCCCCTGCCTCTTCCCACCCCCCTGCCCCGAGTCACAGTTCCACCCCTATAAACCGGCGTCGACGCCGACGAGCCTTCCATCATATCCCGCGCGCCTGACGCCGCCGTCGACGCCGCCGTCACTCCATCCCGCCGCGACGGCGCATCCTCATACTGCACATGGCGATCCCAATCCTCCAACGAGGTATACGGACTCCGCAACCAAGCCTGCAGCTCATGCAGAAACAGGCGCGCATTCTCCCTCCCCAGGAAATCCCGGAGGAGTTCCTCCGCCTGCCCCGCACTGCCCTTTATGTCGACCGTGCGGAGGATGGCAATGATATACTCGAGCAGGAACTCGGCGTTGTTGCCGCGGCGGTTCTCTAGCCGCTGTTGTCCGGTCCGGGGGTGGCCGCCAGGAGGCCTCGTTGTATCCTGGTTGTTGTTATCGGAGGGGTTCAGGAAGGCAAACACTTGAAGTTCGCGGCGGATCCATTTGCGGGCGCGCGAGACGAGGTCTTCTTCGCGGTTAAAGCGGTCCGGTGTAAGTTCCTGGTACTGCGAGAGGCGGTTGGAGCCCACGCGCAGGGAGTAGAGTTGGTGGCGGTAGATGTGTTGGCGGCGGCGGAGGGGGTCGCCGCGGTTTTGCTCTCGGGTGGGAGGGCTTCGAGCGCGGCGAGGGCGGCGGGGTGGGGGTCGGTGGAGGGAATGTGCAGACGAATGAGAAGAGGGTGTGCTGGTGTTTGCTGGTGGGAGGGCTGGGAGGTGATAGGTTTTGGGCCCTTGGGGACTGTCGAGGTTGTATTTGACGGAGGTGATGTCGCTCTTGCCTTGATGTTGAGTTAGACGGGATTCTTGCAGGCTGAGATGCAGCTCGTGTAACAGTGATACCTACAAAGTGGGCAGTTCCGTCGCTGCTCCAACCAGCTCACCAGACACAGAAAGTCGAAATTAGCATGCTTGCAGGGCACCGCAATCGCGGCTTCGGACACCGGCTCCAGGCAAATGACGCACGGATTCGCCTCACTGGCGCCCTCCTCTTGTGCTACCTCCTGGAGCGTTCGCTGCAAGATTTCCTGCTGTAGGTCGACATCATCGGACATGGAATTCTATTCTCGATTGTGCATCAAAAGAATTCCTGGCGGGTGAGGGAGGCCAGAGATGGAAAGCAAAGAGAATGTTATCGGACAAGAGGAGAGATGGGCTGACCGCCTTGGGACGTCATTGCATGCATCACCGCCCGGGAATATGCGAGGAATAAGTCCAGCAGAACCGATACGGCAGACGATAAACACTCCGCCTGCCGGACTCGGACTCGGAGCTGCCACAATCGACCAAAGGAAACGCCAAGGCAGGTTTGCGCCTCTTTGCGGTGATATGCCGCGAATTCTCCGCAGTGAAACCTTCACTTCGTGCTCCCAGTAGCTGTGCTCATATATCCTTTCTACTTCTCATGTGAAGCTGCGCAAACCTCTATTTATCACCTGCTAATGCTGAAGGTAATGCGATCTGCCAGGTCTGTACTGACAGAGAACGCATCCAATATGAGGAATCACGCCCACGCCGCGCCGTCGCGGACCATCACCAGTTTACGGCGGTGGTCCATCGTCAACAAGGAACTACCAGGTGTGTGTTACTTACGCAATCATATAGGGCGCTAATAGCCTATGACTAACGCGCTTCATTTGTTCGTGCGCTGTAGCGGTGCCGCAGGTAAGGGCGATTCATGTCTACGACTTCGACAACACATGTAAGGATGTCAACTCGTCGCCCTACGCCGCCTGATGTCGCCTCCCACCTAACGCTCCGCAGTATTCTTGAGTCCTCTACCCAACCCGCAATTATGGAACGGCCCGACCATCGGGTTCCTTCAAGCTTACGAGAGCTTCGCGAACGGCGGCTGGTGGCACGACCCGAACCTACTGTCGGCAACGGGCGATGGGATCGAAAAAGAAGAACTGCGCGCATGGGAGGGGTGGTGGAATGAACAGATCGTGCGATCCTCATGATGTATACTTTACGTGGGCTACGACGTTGAGCTGATTCATCCCCCAGGTGCAACTCGTCCGACTGAGCATGGAGCAAAAAGATGCCCTGACCGTGCTTTTGACGGGACGAAGCGAGAGTGGGTTCTCGGAGATCATCAAAAGGATGGTGAACAGTAAAAAGCTGGAGTTCGATCTGATATGCCTCAAGCCTGAAGTGGGGCCGAGGAATCAGCGATTCGCTAGCACCATGGAATTCAAGCAGACCTTCCTAGAAGACCTAGTCCTGACCTACGATCAGGCGGAGGATCTTCGCATCTATGAAGACCGCCCGAAGCAGTATGTTCTTTCCTTGTTGTCCGTGCCTGCTGTCGGAGCGTCTGACCCTCTGCCAGTGCCAAAGGCTTCCGGGACTACTTCGAGCAGCTGAACCGCAAGTTTCAGACTTTGGGCCCCAGCCCTAGAAAGCCGATCAACACGGAAGTCGTCCAGGTAGCTGAAGGCTCAATGTACCTTTCCCCTGTATTGGAAACCGCTGAGGTGCAGCGCATGATCAACTCTCATAACCTGACCACCCGCAACCCGTCACTAAACAAGGCCAAGTCGCCGTACGGCCGACTGCGCATTAAGCGCACTATCTTCTACACTGGCTACCTGATCTCCAACGCCGACTCAAATCGGTTGATCCGCCAAGTATTGAATCCCATGCTTCCATATGGGCTTGCTGACTCAAATGACCTGAAGTACATGGCAAACAGTATACTAATCACGCCGCGCCCGGCCCCGCGATCTATTTTAGACAAGGTCGGCGGCATTGGCAAGAAGCTAAGCTGGCAGATCACAGGGACGGCGTGCTTTGAAAACCGCGTCTGGGCGGCGCGGATGGCGCCGGTTCCAGCCACGGAGAAATACTACACAGAGAACCCGCAGCCGGTGGTGGTATTAGCGGTGCGCAAAGGTGCGCGGCCCATCGACGCCGGCAAGATCCAGAACTGGCACCCGGTGCCAGCAGACAAGGCTCTGACGGTGGAGACCGTAGTCGGGGAGAAGGTGGTGCTGCGCGTCGAGGAAGAGAACCCCAACGAGGGCGAGTGGGAGAGCCAATTCCTGAACAAGAACAACAAGCGGCGCCACCAGCAAGAGCGCAACGACGAGATCCTGTACCCGCCGCACTCGGACCAGCCCGCGACCTATGATGGCGCGTCGCACCACGGACGCCCGCACCCGACCCATCCGCGCAACAATCGCCATCATCACCACGATGACGGCCCGCGTCGGGGCAACGCCTTCCGGGGCCGTGGTCGCGGCGCTGCCGGGCGAGGCAGGGGCCACCAGAACCGCGGTGGGAACCGGGGCCGGGGCCGTGGGCGTGACAATGGGCCTCCGGGCTACAGATCTCTGGATGACTATGGCGGTGGCTTCGACGGGAACTATGAGGAGAAGCCTGGGCCAGGCGGCGGTCCGCCCGTCATGAACTACTAAACCACCTACCTATTATATGTTTGATTAGTCGATGAAGCCCTTCGTCCTGTTTGTCTGTGTCAATGATCGGCAGAGAGATCATTCTGAGCATGCACATTGTCCAGTAGGAAAAGTAATACGCGCAACTCATCATACAATAGGCCCTGGCTCATTGTACGCGCATACGCCCTGTAAAATTGTATGCTTGAAACGTAGTATTATCGTTTCATTCATCGAGTCCGTTCGAATTCCTCATACTATGATGATGCATATATGTTGCAGTGCCAATTCAAACTGCTTTGCTTATATGCACTTTAATCTTCAAGCAAGATCACACACAAACACAGGATCTGGGAACCGGCCAGAGAACAGTCACCAAACCTCGAAGCAAACAGAACTAGACTCGCTCAACCCGAGATACCGACTTTATACAAGGCGACTGACAAACTGCGCAAGAAAAAAAAAAAAGTCAAAGCCACTAGAAAACATCTTGCAGGAAGAAAGATATACAGAAGTTGAATGCAGCAAGAAAAACAATAACTGGGGTAGATTTGTTTCAAATGAACGGCCGACCTATCGATAGTAGAACCCCGTGGGTGGCCGCATGTTTGTTCATTAGGCATTTCCTTCATGATGATATAAAATTCTTTAACGCAAACAAAAAGAAAAACCAAACATAACCCGTTTCTCGTATTCCGTTGTCCAAATGTCCATATCCGTAAATCATAGCGAAGCGAAGGGGAAAAGCAAAAATCAACGAGGAGATAAACCATCCATGTTTCCAAATGTCAATGCGTCATTATTCACGTGCTGTGCTGGTAATTGTAGATGCCGTTTCTTGGGCGCGCGGAGCCCCGTATTCTGTAGGAGTGGTGGGTGGTGTCGATATTATCAAAATCAAAAATGGGGGGAATCAAATTGCGATGCAGAAAAGGAGGAGTTTTGGGTGTTTTGTCAGTTCGGCTAGGGCTCGTCCGTCAATTGTCGGATTAGGCTGATGCTGAGGATCATCACAAGAAGACCTATCGTCACCACGACCATAAGGCCGAAGCCGAACCAGCCGAGCACCATTGCTGAAGTGCCGACTCCACTCTTCACACTGCCGTTGCCCATGTCCTGCGCGATGGTGCTGGCGGCCACGGATGCTGTATGTTGCCAGAGGACTGAGACGAGCACGAAGACAGAGGCGACGAAGATAAGAGCCAGGGCGGCTTGCGATACCGGTCGTGATGGGAATGGCTTGGCTTCGACTTCGGAGCCACTGGCATCGAGCTCATCGTGCCAACCGGGGAAGGTGGCGAGCAGGATGAAACAGAAGAAGGCGAGGATGACGGCGATGATCCTATCACTGGTTAGCAAGGGCACTCCGCGGTGATGCGTGTAGTTAAAACGTACAAGAGGTATGGGAACACAACCGCATCCTTGAAGGTAGACGCGACCCAAATCAAGTTCAGAGGGTCTTGATCAACCGTGACGATTTCAGCCAAGGCTGTCGCATTGGCATTGCAAATATACGATCCTGCATCTGGTTGCACGCAAATACCGAAATAACCCACGCGAACCTCCATCTCCGCTCCCCCGACAATGTTCGCCGTTGCCGTGACCACCCCGGGATCTACCTGTGCCAGGTTGAAGGTCGGCTTGTATCGTTCGTAGTAGAGTGATATCAGGAATATGCTGGGGATCTGCGGGGACGAGGAGGAGCACCCCGCCAATAGTAGGGCTGTTTACCGTTAGCTGCATTCCCGAGCACGAGGGGCCGGAGAAATACTGACATAGAAGAATGATGGCGACCGCAATGATAATCATTAGCACGTGGTGGTAACCGATCATCGGTAGGATCCCTGGAGAGTCGATCGTCAGTAATCTGATACAAACTTCCAAAGCAAGACACGAGATACGTACGGGCTAGCCGGTCACCTATCTTGGAAGGCATCTTGTTGGATGGAGGTGTTGTCTTTTCTTCCCTGATTCTCGACTCGCTTCTCGGGACCCCGAGAAGGAGTCTACGCCGGCGTTGCTGCGCACTCTGTCCGGCAATCCAACCTAACTAACGGGACACTATGACGAGAAACCCCTTCAGCAGAAGTGAGCTCCAGTGAAAGTTGCTGAGCCTGGAACTTCGCGACGAGGGATTATGTCAAGGTCTTCCGAAGGTATGCGGTAATTGACTGGAATGTGGACAAGAGGAGTTGCAATGCGACGGGCCGTGACAGCGATCGAGATCGAGATCGAAAGAATGTATGGCTCGATAGTCCCACGTTGCGCCTGAATAGTGGATAATTGTGGTTAGAAATGCACAACGAGAATCACCAACTGGGCTGGTGGGCTAGAGGGACTGGGTGGATGCCAAAAGCAGGCAAGCGGAGGAGGGTAGGGAAATGGGGACTGGAGAGTGTAAAGGGGAGAAAGGGGAGAGCAGGTTCTCAGCTAGAGCAGGTTCCAAGTTCCGTGCTGACAGAATTGCGACTTGACACGCAAGAAGGGCCGGTTGAAGCTGGTAGAGAAGGGTGATTGCTTGGATTAATGGAGGAGGCTGGGTGAATCGCGATGGGCGAGTATAGTTCAGCCCGCTTGGGCCCAATGGAGGAGGCTGGGCCACTGTCCTTTTGTTTACCGCGTCCGTTCCCCGGTAACCATCCCACACCGCCCGCCGTCATGTTGGCCCATTGGATCCGCTGCATCCCCACTGATCGCGCTAGGCCCGATCATCTTATCGGCACGTGCCCTCTTCCCAGCCTCCCGGGCCATTTTCAATCCAATACTATGTCATATTGCCAAAATACCCCCCAACCTGAAGACAATCAATTCACACCTATGGGGTATACGGTTAATCCCATGTAGATCCTAATGTGTTTATACGTCCAATTACTCCTCGCCTATGTATCTCAATCACTAACCCAATGCCATGGATAGACAAAATTAACAGTATCCCAGAGAACGCCCGCAATGATGATGATGATATGATGATGATGATGATGATGATGATGATGATGATGATGATGATGATGATGATGATGATGATGATGATGTTGTTGTTGTTGTTGTTGTTGTTGTTGTTGATCATGTTAATCATGTGTCCAGGCACTCCAAGTGCATCTATCGGCCCGCAAAACAGAACCGTTTGAGATCAATAGCAACTGGAATTGGCCGGCCTCCAGTCGCTTCATCCTCGGGTTCTTCCAACTCTTCTTCGTCCTCACTGTCCGGAATGATCATGTCTTCACTCCCATGGCAGGTCGTCATCAGATTATGGGTGCTACTCGGACTACTTTTGGGGGCCTCGACAGGGGTTATTGAAACCTTGGACGCTCGAAATGCGGCTAATGAAGACGAAAGATGGCTGAGAGACCGGGACCTAGCCAAGGCACTTTGACCCAGTCGTTGCAAAGGTGTTGTCCGTCCACGTCTGGGCGGTGTCCTTAGACTTCCGGTTCTCAGGCCGATCGACAATTGCGAGTGTCCCACGGGAGGTGGCAGCCGTCCATTGCTTTCTGCGCGGCCGACGCTCTCCGAAGGAGCGCTGCTATCTCTGCCCTGGAATGCAAACCTCGAGAGCAGCGACGAGTTTTGCTTTTCGGTGTGATGGTCGAGTACTTGCTGAGACACGGCCGGTTTGTACTCCAGGCTGACAAACTTGGGGTTGTCTTCATGAACAGGAGCGAGTCCGGATGGCACGTCTTGTTTCTGCTCCGGCTCGTGAGTCAGGTGGTCAGGGGCATCGGTCTCGGTGCTCTGCGGGAGCAGAACGTCCCCGCCCGGAGCTGGGCCCAAGCCAGCATCTTGGTTTTTATGGCTTGCATCTTTCGCAGAAGGCTCGGCTGGATCCGGAATCTGAGACATCATATCCTCTACTGAATCGTCTGAAAAGACGTCCAGTGAATGTTTCCGAGCTTTCTTGGTTCGGTTCGCCTTTAGTCCAATAGGGCTAGATTCGTTAGCACGGCCCGCAAAGAACCGACTGCGACAACTAGAAACACTTGGCGAGTTTCCGTCATCTATGTCTGAACAGAGACGCTGTCGCTTAGAGGATTGCAGGGCAAGAACTTTGGAGGCGTGGGGAAGGAAAGAGCCCCGCTCCACACTTCTCGTCAAGGGGCTGGAGAATCTGTTCGACGTTGTGACAGATGAGGCCGATCTCATTAGAGTGGGCTGTGTGGGAACGGGACTGCTCTCCCAGGAAGTATTGGCATGTCGCTCCAGGAGCCGTTGCTGACTTGGCGAAGGCGTGAGACTATTCGGATCTAGCTCAGCTAATGGCATTCGTCTTGGAGTGAAAAAGGAGTTAATGGGCTTGTTGGACTTCAATTCGGCGGCTGATCCGAGTGTTTGTCGGCGCTGTAAAGTGTTTGGGAATCGTTTCTCGGTATACCTCGCTGCGACTGGTGGCTTCAACACCAGCGGTTGCTTGGTTGTTGGGTCCAAATCTCCATGAGCAACGCCCACTGCAACCTCAGGCTCAACGTCGCCGCCGATAAAAGGCATTTCTTCTAGGATGATATCACTTTCAGGAGCACTGAGCGTAACCAGCTTTTTGACCTTGGGACAATAGACTCGCTGATACAGGAAAGTGAGCTCTGCCTGTTTGAAGTCCTTTAAGTAGTCCGCAGGAACGTGATATTGGCCGTCAAACTGAAGCATTCGCACGGCTTTCTCGACGTTCCTGTATCTTCGTATGCTCTGGTGAGCTGTTTTTAAACCCATCCGCGGGATGTTGGCCAGATAGTCACAGCCGGCGAGGATACACATACGCCGAAAGTCGTCGTCCGACCATCCTATCAGACTGACGTCTCGGCAAGCCCCAAAGTCCGCTCGATTGATTTCAATGCAGTCGCCATGGTGGTCGAGCTTAGACAGCAGGCGTTTTGCGCCAAACACGAGCAAGTCGGAGTCTTCAGAGATGATCCCATCGATGATGCCCTGCTGCTCCAAATATACAAGCTGCGCATCTGCTTCGTACGGAGCCACGACAAATGAGACGCTCATCTGCTTCAGTTCTTCGATCAATTCACGCGCCATGAGTGGAGTTACGTCAACCGCCTTCTGCAGTTCCTGGTACGCTTCCTTCGTTCGGCCCTTTCGGAGCAACTCCATCCCGAGTGCCTTGCTATCATGTCGCTTTTTCTGACGACTGGCTTCGGTGCCAGACTTGCTGGGAAGATTATCTCCGTCGAACACGAGGTATGGCGTCACTCCGAAGTAGATAAGCATGCGCACTCGGTTTAGCACAAAGTCGATATGTCTTATCATCATGTTAGCGAGCTTTCGAGCCTCAAGCCCACAGGCACATACTTTCTCGTGGGCTTGCCCAGGACCAAATCCACGGAACACGCGACCGTGCCACGATGTAGCCATCCGTAGGCATCGACGCCTAATGTCTGTCCACTAAAGTTTTTTAGGTGGCATTGTTTCTGGATTGATTTAAGGAGAACATGGAGCCCTGGAGGAAAAGTCAGTAATAAGAGATAGCCCTCAAGCACTTAGAGGAATGAGGGTTACCTTTAATTCCCATTGTCGAAGCCCTTTCTTTTGACGTAGTGGCAGGCCTCGCTCGCTATACCTGCACCACCAAAACAGGGATCCGCTCCGGCTGCTGGTGCTCAGGGTCAAGCCAGAAGATGGAGACGGAGAACATGGGAAGGTCGTGATTCAAGCGATGAAAGAAGACGTCCCACTCCCTGATTGACCGGCAAACGACAATGGCCTAGACAACGAGGTTGGAATGCTCGATCTTCATCCCCTCCGACGCGCCAGGAACGCGATGGGGCAAGGCAGCCCTCCTCATCTTCTGATTGGGTTCATGTGGGCGGCATCAGCGTCTCTGCTCACCGCCAGTATATTCTGCCGGTCGAAAAAAGAAACTCGCCGAGGAGAAAAACTCGCTGGGTGCCCTGAACGACATTTCATCTACCAGGAAAAAAGATAAGAGATAATTGTCATCATGCCGAAGACGCTACAGAAGGTCCACAAGCACATTGCGAAGAAGAGAGGAGCGGTTGAAGCTTTGCATGAGTTCAGCAGAGATGCGAGAAGACTGCGTCGTGCCACTGCCAGAGATGACCGAGTCGCTCGAGTCTCCGCCAATATGTCGCGGGGCAGACAGACCTATGGTAAAACCTACTGCTGCACTCTCTTGCCTTGCTCGCAAGGATGTCCACTGATATATCTCACTACGCACAGTCGATCGCATTGCATATTTCTACGAGACCCTACCGGAGGATGCGACACCTATGTCGGAGGATGAGATGAAGGATATCGTGGTTCGGTATGTCCAATAAACCGGGACTCAAAGATGTCCTTACCGTTCAATTTGCTGACATGTCAATCAGGTATATCAACCGCAGTGTGCCCGAGATCGAACAGTTACAGAGCGAGCGGCGGAAGGGCAGACCCCCAAGCAAACGGGAAGAGGCGTTGCTGCAGCGAACCGATGTCGAGAACAAAGAGTTCAAGACCGGCTTCTGGATGCCGGATTTGTCTCAAGAGGCTGTCATCAAGTCTCTTAGGGCTTGGAATGGAGATTGGTCTGGATTGAGCACGATGAATTTCATACGCATCACAAAGGATGGGGGCAAACAGCCTTCGGTATTTCCCCCCAAGGGGATGTCCTAAAACTTTTCTTATTTTTTCCCCTTCTTATCTTTCGTGTTCCAAATGGCCAGACAATTCAGTGCTAGATCTGCGGATATCTCATGGGACTATGGCGTTATGATTGCATATAGTCGAAATAGACATACATATCATCTGATGGAATTGAATACAGCAACAAAGTAGTAAATGTGCTGAATGGATGGAGCTTCGGGTCTTGGCGCGGGAGAGCTTTAGAAAGTGGAGATGCCTGAGGTCCCAGGCTCGTTCACATCATCACTTTGCCTCTTCCGCATTCCTTCCTTCCCATCGATCATCCCACATCCCATTCATTGATCTTTCTCAATCAACCCTCTACTTCATCCCTCTATCATCCACCTCTTCTTCATCACCTTCAAGATGATGTCCCTTCGCACCCTCACTCGCTCCGCCCCCCGCTCTATTGCGCGGTCTCTCGCTATCTCCACTCGCTCGACTGTCTCCCGACCTGTCGCCGCCGTTTCCCAGAATGCTTTCACCTTGAAGCAGATCACAAAGCCTGCCTATGCTGCTTTCTCGACCTCTCGGGCTTTCAAGCAGTCCTCTAACGAGGGTAAGGCGATTCTTGGTGACTGAAGTCTCGAGCGCTTCGGCAACTTCTGTTCTTGCGCATCGATCCCATTTTTCCAATCTTTATCAAGCTTTCCTCCCGTCGCCTCGTATCCATATTTCTTTTTTCTTCCTTGGAGCCCTGAAAGCTTCAAGCGTGGGTCCTGATCATTTTCCGAGTGAGAATGCTGACCATTTGTTATTTGCTTCATTGTAGGTGACATTGAGCTTGTTGCTAAGCTTGAGGATGAGCTGAAGCACGAGAAGGCCTCCGGCCTTGAGGATCTGGAGGGTTCCGTTCAGAACATCCAGTATGTTCTGCAAAACAACTCTTGGGAAGTAGGTTCAACCAGGCTACCGATTGCCAGTTATCATGAGCTCACATATCTGTTATCTCTAGGTCAAGGATATTCCCGGCGAGCAGGAAGTTGCGTTCACCAAGAAGTTTGGCAATGAAGAGTAAGGCAGCCTTTCCCCACTTTCTTGTTTACATTTCTTGTCTGACTGTTTGTTCCATTTTCTAGGATCCGCGTCACTTTCACCGTTGCAGATCTCCAGAACCTGAGCGAGCAGGACGACTTTTCCGCTGATGGTCTGATGGGCGCAAACGAATTCGGAAGCCACCAACCAGCTAACCAAGGTCGCACAGGCATGTCTCAGCTTCCCGAGGACAGTCTCGCTCCTTCCGACCGCGACGAGGTCGATCTCGATGACCTCGAGCCGAGCTTCCCTGCCCGTGTCAACATCACTATTGAGAAGCCCGGCAACGGCGCTCTCCTGGTTCAGACTCTGTGCAATGATGGCGTGTTCCAGGTCGAGGAGGTCTCTTACTTCAACAAGCCCGATCTGGCTCTTGCCCAGACCGCTGAGAAGGACTGGGCTAGACAGAGCATGTACGCCGGTCCTCCCTTCGAGAACCTCGACGAGGAGCTCCAAACCTTTATCGACCGTTACCTGGATGCCAGAGGCATCAACGCCGAGCTTGCCACCATGATCCCCGACTACATCCAGGTCAAGGAGCAGAAGGAATACGTCCGCTGGCTCGAGAGTACGTGATCCACCGGTATATGCTTCTTTGATGGGCATTAGCTAACACTGCGTCCAGGCATCAAGAACTTCGTTGCTGCTTAGCTTGGGCGGAAACAAACATTGCTCAAATGCGTTCTTCCAACAGTCTCGTGGCGTGCTTGTAAATGATGCGTTTTGAGTTTTTCAAATATACTCCTCTGGCTCCTGTTTTCTCCAAAGCAGGCTTTATGTTCATTAATCAGGTGGTGCTTGGCAGCCCCATAATGTATCAACATAGAAACGAACAAAAAAATGTAATTATGACTGAGAACAATGCTCACTGTTACCACTGCATTCATCATCACTACTTTGTTGATTGAGTATTTACTAATTCGTCCTTGTCAACCAAGAATGAATAAGCCATTACAGTATTTACATAGAACATAGTTGTATTTCCATAAATCTCCGTAATTGAACGCCTGAATTATTCACTGTCCCTTTAACATACTCCTAAATCGCTTCAATAACATACCCATAATGCCTACCACCCGGACAGGGCGGTGAAAAGAACTGGAAACCGCGTTGATTCGTCTGGGGATGGGGAGAGTTGAGGCCTAAAATTCCATGCTCTCAGACTTGGGCTCCCCAGCATCATCGTTCCGCTCCCGCTTGCCACCACGCTCTTCTTTCAAGAGGCCGGCAATGAATGAACGAAAATAGTCAATGTATGGTTTTAAGCTCGTCTTCTCATAGTCCTGCATCCTGCGGCTGCCTCTCGCATCCGAGTCGGCCACACTACCCTCCCCATCGGCAGGCTCTGGCCCGGCATTGGTGCTCGGATGCTCCGCGTCCCACGTATCAATCTCCGCGAGTAGTTGCGTGACCGTCGGCACCGAGAGGGGGTCGAACTGCTCTGCCTTACGAGGGTCGATAGGCACACAGACGCGGCCGGTGCCCGGGTGGATGACGAACGGGCTCTTGAGCAAGTGGATCATCTTCTTGCTGACCTCGGAATCCAGCCGGGGGTAGGTGTACTCGAGCACGATGTCCTGCTTGGCGTCGCGGAGGGTGGTCGGGTTCAGGGTGCTGCTCTTGCCGGTCTTGGCGAGGGCATCGATATCGGCCCACTTGTTGGCGCTGGTGCGGTCGGGCGACGACTCCCACTTCTTGCGCAGCGACTCGTTCAGCCCCTTGTCCGGCAGGAGCGCCAGCAGCCGCTGCGCCTGCTCGGCGCTGAGGAACGTGTCCTGGTCGACCAGCGTCGTCTGCGCGAAGTACGACTTCAGGATCTCGAGACTCCGCGCCAGGTGCGGGTGCAGCGGCCGCTTCAGGTTCACCCGCTTGCCGCTGCTGTTGCCTCCCCGCACCACCTCCAAGTAGCCGGCAATCGCCCGCCGGCGATCATCGGGCAAGCTGCGCGCGCGCGGGTCGCACACCCACGCGTGCGCACCACGACGGCCCGAGTAGACCCAAAGGATGTGCTCGAAGCCGAAGTCCTCGCGCAAAGCCGTGTCCACGACCTTAATCGCCATCGTCACGAATGCCCAGCATTTGCCGCAGATGTTGGCCTTGGTGCAGCAGGATCGGATGTCGTCGTAATCTGTCAGATCGATATCGAAGACAAGTTCCTTGGAGATGGGTTTCAGTTGGCCGCCGCGGAGGGTCTTGCGGTCTCGGGGGTTGGTGTTGTAGACGGGGCCGATTTCGAATCGAGAAGGGTTCATCTTGAGGATGTCTTTGCGAAAGCTGCCGGGTTGTTAGAGTGGGCGTGAATTTTTTATTGTGGCGGTTGTGGAATCGCTCGCATTACTCACAGGTCTGCAGTCGCATATGATTGATATCGGAGGTAAGCATCGTTCTGGAGGGTGAGGGCAAATTCTCGGTTTCCGAAGTCGGGAGAAGGAACAATTCCATGATTCAACCATTGGAAGAGGTAGCGAAATGGGAATAGGCGTTGATAGAATGCCAGCATGGTGTCTGTGTCTACCTCCGGACCTGGAGCAGGCGCGGCGCTGGATGGACAATCGTATCAGTACCACCATACCCCAAGAATCAAGGTGAAACCTACTCTGTTTGCATCGCGTTCGGATTTTGAGTGTTCGGTGCGCTAGAGGCGGGGTACTCTTCATCGTCGTCGTCATCGTTAAACAAATCCTCCAATTTCACGCCCCCTGTTGCTGCGTTGTCGGGTGCATTGGTGTCTCCATTGTCGGAGGTCGTTTCTGTTTGGGGAGCATCGGGTAAAACCTCGTCATATTTGTGTTCTGCTGACGAGACTGGTGAGGATACTGAATGGGGCATTATGAGCGTTGAGTCGTGAGTCGTCTCGTTGTTTGCCAACAACCTGAGGTCGCAGCATTACTTCGGTCTTGCAGCAAACCATTAACGCGCTCGAAGACGCGTTCCTACGCGCCGCTAGCCCTAAGCCCTGATATGATAGCTTAATTCCGCAGCGCTTATCTCCACGTGATCGTATTTTTTGCAAACGGCGATGTGTCAGCAAGGTACCGCCGACCCGCCGAGGAAGCGACAAAGTAGCTGAGGCGAGTATACTTCTGAACTTCACCTTATGTCTGCCAAGGTTCCTCTGGTACCACCCCTGCAGGAACAGCTACGATCTGACTGCGCCGTTTGCAGCCTTCGGTTCCTGTCAAGAGGCTCAACGAGCTTGTCATCAATGACGTCTTCCATCCCTCTGATCGGCCAGCCAGGCGATCCACTTGCTCCAATGAAACATTACCAGCTTCGCATCTCAACGACTTGTCACACTGGCTTCGAAAACGGCCGTCTTTTACTTTGACGCTGACTACTCCAAAGCAATGATGCTTGAGGATATTGAGATGGATTATCGTATAGCCACGCCTTCCTCTAATTGCTGACAGAGGCCTCGTATGATGCCATGACTTTATGCGTTACGGAGATTAATCCTCGGACTAGGTCAAGAAAGCCATCATACGGGGTACTGGAGTAGAGGTCTTCGGTACTCTACTCTAATCTTAGTAAAGTTACCTACTACTTTTGCTTTCTTGTTTTTTGTCCCCTGCCCTGATCCTTGACCCCATGAACTTACCTGCAACGTTACAGACGGGTGTCCAGAAACTCCACATTCCTGAAAAGCTTTTTCAACATTACCATCTGCAGGAATTGATGAGTCAGTGAAGACACTTCTACAAGCTTGGCTCATATTGCTTGGGGGATAGCGTTCCACATCAGCACGCAAGGTCCATTCGCGGTGACCCTTCTCAGCTGGCTTGACTCCGCTCACCTTGACCGGTGCAAAAAGCTTGCCCCCACATAGACCACGGAAGTGTCTGCGGGCTTTCAGCTTCCTAAACTGATACCTTCACTACTTGTCGAAAGTCATGACGACAGTACTGCTCTTGACTTCCCAGCTAGGGATAACGGCCTAGCATCGTGCCCGAGGATCGTGGCTGACTGACGTGGATACTGTGGGCCGGTTCCCAAGAAGATGCAGAAGATGTTACATTCATATCTCAGCAAGACATGAGTCGATTCGACTAGGATTACAGCATCACATCGGCCCCTTTGGCATCCACGGCTTGGCTCACCTCGAACTGCAGTTTCGTAGCTCAGTGTCGATGAGCTTTACTTTTGCTCCTGAACCTTACGACACTCGCCCCGTACTTCGTGATTCAATGGATACTACAGTGGCATTATCACGATGGTCAGTGACGACTATCGGGTGCACAGTCATCAAGCTCTTCGTCGAAGAGATTTAAAGGCGAGACATTCTGCTTCTCTGAATTCTTTTCCTCACTTCTCTATTCCACCTTGTGCCGTACGGAAGCCACTCGCTGTTCCTTCTTTCATCTCTCGTTTATACCAAAAAAGTGTGTTGTTTGAGCCTTTTGCTTCAATTCGAGAAAATCATCCTTCAAAATGGTCAAAAAGACTATCGCGCTTCTGGCTTTGGCTGCCCCGACTTTTGCTGGTGTCATTCAGGGACGTGGCGGAGAGGTAAGCTCGATCAATAAGGGTCTCGTCTGTCCATTAGCATGCTAAGAAGCCCCAAAGCCCGAGGAGAAGAAGCCCAACTCCACCAAGAAGCTTGTTCTCACCACCGATCCACCCCGCACCATCACCAAGACCACTACCTATGTGACTACTGAGTGCCCTGGTGAGTCATGACCTTCCGTAGTTCCTTCATCAAGTCATGTCTAATACCGTCCACAGAGACTACCACTGTTGTCACCTCTGGCAACAAGACTCTTACGGTTCCTATCACTCTCACCAACACCGTCACCGTGACCACCACTTGGTGCGAGGAGGATGGGAAGACTATCGTTCCTACTGGCAAGGAGCCAGTGCCGACTGGCGTGAAGCCCCAGCCTAAGTTCAACCCCACTGGCACTGTCATTCCCAT